CCCCAATATGGCACATAAACTCATAAACGCTGGTACCTAGAGTGGCGTTTGCTCTTCTTCTCTTCTAAAGGAGCAACTATACAAATAGTATATACAGAAACCATTTTAACAGCTCCCAGACACATACCACATGTGCTCTTGGTAGTTTCATCTGATTAAAGGGGCAAAACTATATAACGAATATATATAAAAAACCTTTAAACAGCTTTTTGGTATTTTTTTTTGATATTTGAGTGGTGGTGAAATATTTATGTATATCAAGCTCTTATTGGAGTTGCTTCTGTTACATCTGTGTCCATGGAAAAGATATTTCAAAATTCTTTCCAAAAGGTACAATAACTCATAATTATTTTATCATTCGAGAATGTTCTATAAAATCCGAAATAGTGTAATGGCTATCACACGACGCTCTCACCGTCGAGATCGGGGTTCGATTCCCCGTTTTGGAGTTATATGCTTTTTCTCCTCATAGACACATTCGACTTTTTTTTACATATATAATTGGACGGTCCCGATAAAAAAATGGTAGGGAGAGAGTAGCAGCTAACGCACGAACAGTTTTTTATGTTTGGATAGTTTGTGCAATCAGTGTAGTCTAATAGGAAACAAGATACACCAATTTTGGAGTGAAGATGCCATCAGACCAGACAAAGAATGTTGTGTGATTGTTGAAGTGTTTTTGGCTGGTATTCGCATGGAAAAAGATACGTTGACTACCGAGAAAAGCTCACAAATACCGTCAATAAAATTTAACATACAGCTTGCGTGCATTGGACATTGTGCTCATTCTGGCAAATTTTTTGTTTTTCCGAAAAAAGCGGTTCAAAACTCACTTTGACAGAGCCCGATTTTGAGAGCTGGAAGGATTATTTGAGAAGATTTATTCTAGAGAGAACGATCACTTCGTGAAGAAAGTTGCGGAGGACCATCAAAATAATCTGACGATAGTCAGATCTTTTGACTATGTGTATTGACTTTTTCAATTCGTGTCCCACGAAATTTGCCAGCATCTAGTCGATGGCAACGATTTCATCACCTGGCCAATAATCAATTTCTTTGCTTGAGTCTGAACTGACTGAAATTAAGAATGGTGGATAACATCTTAGAGGAGCTAAAATGAAGTTTTTCGTGTTTGGACTTAAAAGAATTGTTCAGCCAAAAATGCGAATATGGCTGTCCCCTTTCATAATATCTTATTTGATGTCAGGCACAGTGATATTCTTTGATGAGGTTCTATTTTTCTGTCCACGTAATCAGCCACTCGTGGGCGCTGGAAGTGATTGACTTCGAGAAATTCATTTTTTTTTTCTTTGGTCGCGACTCCAGCGCAAATTTTGAGCACACAACTATAACTTCACTTCCACACAGCCTTGCCAACAAGCATATATAAATATGGCCAGGGGTAACCAAAGAGACTTGGCACGAGCAAAGAACTTGAAAAAGCAGCAAGATGCTGCCAAAGCCCTGAAAAAGGAAGGAGACCCAAAAAAGAGAATGGAGTCCGACGCAGAGAAAATGAGACAGAAGCAAGCCTTGGGTATGTGGTCTTGAACACGAAAATAGTAACGTAAAATGTAGAAAGTATACTAACTAATAATGTAGCCGATGCCAAAAAGGTAGCTGAGGCTCAAAAAGGCAAATAGCCCGGCGATGCTGTATGAGAGACAGAAATCGGGTAGCGATGGCCCAGCTTTTCTATCCCCTTGTAGAAGCGGCTGGAACCATGTACACTTTAGAAGCAAAAGGTGTGTGATGGACTAATGGGCTTGTTGTAAAGACGCGATTTTGCTGACACTTGATCGTGTTCAGAGACCGTGGTTGGATAGACTACTCTAATGGTGTGGACGACCGTTGCCCTGTTAAATCTGTCTACGATCCGTCAATAGACAACACACAAAAAATGGAATACAAAACTACTGGTCCAAAACAAAGGGCCTAAAAGGGCTTTAAGAAAGCATATTTCAAGCCAAATGTAGATAGGCTTTTGAGATATGAGATTTTACGGTCTACTGGCCCCAACTGCCCAATAACTAGACAAGAGCCACCCAGAGCGGCACGGAGCAACGGCCCTAAATTCCGCGCCTTTCCACCCCAGACAAGTCGCAACTTGGAAAAGGAAGCGCATTGGCTTAAAACACCAGATTGGCAGATAGAGAAAAACAGAAATAAAACACTTAGCTACTTTTAGAAATGTTGCTTAAGGAGTCATTTCATGACGTGAAGACGTCGTACGGTACAACTATGCGCTTATTCGTGTACCATCCAGTGGTGCCGAACTACCCCCAAGCCAAATTTCCAGGCGTCATAGTGTATTCTGAAATCTACCAGGTCACGGGGCCTGTGGCCAGATTTGCAAAGGACATTGCAGGCCAAGGATACGTGGTGGTGGCCCCATCAATTTACCACAACTTCGAGTCTCACGAGCCTTTGGCATATGATGCCGAGGGTACCGACAAGGGCAACTTATACAAGATAGAAAAAGACTTGAAATCGTACGACGAGGACAACAAACTAGCAGTCGAGTACTTGAGGCTGCTTCCCACCTGCACCGGCAGAATTGGCGCTACCGGTATGTGCTTGGGAGGTCACTTGGCATTCCGGGCGGCCTTGGATCCGGCCGTCAGTGCCGCCTTTTGTTTTTTCGCCACGGACATTCACAACCACGCCTTAGGAAAGGGCCAGAATGACGATTCGTTGGCAAGAAGTAAGGAAATTAAGGGCGAGTTGGTCATGGTCTTTGGGGACAAGGATAACCACGTGCCTTTGCCCGGTCGAGACTTGATTCGGGCCACGCTCAGAGAAAACAACGTTGCGCTCACGTTCATAGAGGTCAATGAGGCCCAGCATGCCTTTATCAGGGATGAAAACTCAAAGGACAGATATGACCCGGCCGTGACGCTGTTGTGTTTCAGCTGGCTTCTTGACTTGTTTCATCGTAAGTTGACCTTGGATTTGGGGGCTCATGACGGAGAAGCTCTTGAGATTGAAGACGTGTGCTAGAAGCTTGTGGCAGTCAGAAATATGAAGAGGAACAGAGAAGATTGTTTCAGGACTGCTAGCAAAATGTAGAGAAGTCCAGTTGATAACAGTGTGATCAGTTACCATTACCATTCTATCGTCCCAGGGTCTTCTGAGTGCATGTACAGGTGCTGCTTGCATAAATTACACTTGCTAAATTCCGAAGCGGCGCTGGCAAAAGTGTAGCCGTGTTGTGTTAGTTCCGCCACTTCGATTCCACATTATATTTGATGAGGCTCATAAAATAGACAAATTTGGCGTTTCAAATGACGATTAACAAAACATATCAATGCTTCGTAAACCCCATTCTGGCGTAAGAAACAAACATCAAATCTTTCTGGCAATTGCTCCAATTTTTTAGCTTGGACTAATAAAGTAGGATGATGTACCTCTTTCGTTGGTCCCTGGTAACATCGTAGTGACTAATAAGGACGGCCGGGGCATTAGTATTCAGTTGCGAGAGGTGATATCCTTAGGTTTTCTGAAGTCTAAATAATTTGAAAGCAATTTCAATAACATTTTCTCAAGTCAAGAACGAAAGTTAGGGCATCGAAGTTGATCGTAGTCTTCACCATAGACTATGCCGACTAGGGTTTAGGCGGCGCCTCACGTAGATGACGTGCACAGCGCCTTGCGAGAAATCAAAGCTTTTCTATTCTGGAGGGAATATGGTCGCAAGGCTCAGTCTTAAAAAAATTGACGGAAGAACACACTCTTTTCAAAGTGCTTTCCATCTCTCCATTATTGTACTTTTGCGCTCGGTCTGTCGCCAATATTTAGTCTAAGATATATGCCGCTTTGATTGCGAAAGTAAGATGCGTATAAGGGCACATCGCCCCAAGAATGCTACTGGCATACGCCATGTCCTACGAATTTGTTCAGTACGTTTATTTATGGCAAGCTTTCCCCGAGAAAAAACATTTAAAAAAAAGATTGCAACACCACAATTTCGCATATGGTCTCCCACTACACTACTCAGTGTGGCCCTATGGATCTTAACTAACGTTGATCGGACGGGAAACAGTGTGTTCTCCATGGTATGGCCGCAACCAAAATTTGCAGGCGAGATGTTACACTAATCGAATACAATTAGTGCTAATTGACCTAAAGACTAAAATCACGGACTAAACTTCAAATTAGAGCAAAAGAAAGCTTTTGATATACCTTAATGGCATGGATACCTTGTTCAGAACGAAGTTTGTGATTTTATCCCAAGTGAAGGCGACGAAAGGCTGGAGAAGAGTTTGGAAATAATTACATAAACATAAAATGTTGGTGCAGAAGGATCTCACCGCCTTACATCTATTCAATCAGGGCTCCTATGTTCCCCTTTCTAATAGAGAAGCTGGAAAGTCATCACTCGAATGCAGTCTGCGTTTGAATCATTGCTAGAGCGATCAAAGTGCTCTAAAACGATACATCCTCAGAGATGGGATCAAACTTAAAGCGTAAGTGGCGTCATTATAACGATGCGATACAAATCACTACAAATCAAGAAGAGTAAATCGAAACAGTATGGTTGTTTTCATGCGAAGCCGTATTGGGTCTCGGCAGAGGGACAGTGGCACGAACCATTGACCAAGCACGTCACGTCAGGTGTTTTGGAAAAAAGAAGTGGGATTCAATTTAACTGGTATGCGTAATGACCTTTTATGAATTGGGTTCAGCTGGGAATCTCTATGTGAAGCATCTCACGTGCCAAAAAATCGAGTGATCTCGAAATTAGAGCGGAAGGAAACGGAATGAGGCTGTTGTAAAATCAAGGTGGAGGGGGGTTGGGGTATTTATCTAGAAACCGAAGAAATGATAGCTGCGCACGAGAAGAGGTCCTGGCTCAAGCCATGAAGAAACAAAAGGAATGGGAATAACGGGGCCAGCGGAACACTAAAGTCCTGAAAAGATGCAAGAGTACAGCTGCATACGAAGACACACATACCAGGTTCTGTCACGTGTAGTCCCATGGTAGTCTTGTCTAGATGAGATCTACAAACATACTGTCAAGAAAATGGCCACTAGCTTGATAATCTTGAGAAAGCGTCCTGAATTCTGTCAAGCGTCAGCTCGCTCAAACTAATATACGTGCTATTTGCAGTCATGGGTGCGGCTGGCGTCACTAGACTTGGACTACTCATCATTATAAGCCCATGATAAGTGAGGCCAGACCTAGTTTTTCATAGCTGTGCAGGTTAAGGAGCCGGTTTCGAGAGTTAGATTAGGCCCACCTCCAAGCCCCGAACGTGTAAGTAAATTGCATCGCTCTTTGGGTGCAAATATATTTTTCTCGATATGTATGACAGGTGTACGCAGGTGGACGATGGATCACGATCATTACGAGCCAAGCCCCTCACACACGACAGTGATTGTCCCATTGTCTGTGTCAAGAAGCAGTAGTGCACTTTGTGAAGCACAGCGTCCAGACTCGTGCACGGAGATACACGTATGGTCTGGTTTTCTGCGTGCGCATTCATGTGCCGTTCGGGAGTGCTGGGGTACGTGTGTTTGACGTTTCTTCATATAAAAAATAAAAAAAGAAGCGAAAAGCCAAACCGGGGGCGCTTGGCCTCTAGAGATCCACCGATGGCTCCATACAATTTGTTGCACCCAAAGAACCATTTCATCGCCCCGACAGACTCACCGTGTTCGCCGCGATGTCCTGGGGTGAGCAATATTGGTGCGCCATAAAACCAGCCATCTGGGAACAGCAAATGGCCGCAACCCCTAAAAAATTAAAGCGGTTGCCGTTTGCTTTGCCCTGCAGAAAGGGCTTTTTGGGATATACGTATGTGTGGAAACGGGGGAGTCTCGGGCACCACGGCCGCGGGCCAAAGTCGGGCCAAAGCCGGCCCCACCATCGCCTGGCCCCATGGCCCCAGGCCCCATACATTCGCACCCAGCGCCGCGGCCTTGGGCTGCGCACCGGGCCATCTGCCCAGCGTAATAACACCAGCAAATACCAACAGTACGCCAAAAAAAAAACGTTCAAAAGCGCAAAACCCAGAATCCACGCTGGCACCATTCACGCCGTTTGTTCCCGCGTGCTACTGGCCCGGAAGACGTGGATCCAGCGGCCCGACTGTTTTCCGGTGCGCGCACGCCCGGCCCGCTCGGAAAAGTTTTCTCGTGCATCTGGCAACGCTCCGCCCTACATCCCGCTTCAACTCCACCAAACAACATGAGACCCATCAAGTTAATGGGCCACCAGCGTTCGTTGACGCAAGTCAAGTTCAACCGCGAGGGAGACATTATTTTCTCCGTGGCCAAGGACTCCCTGGCGCTGATCTGGTACTCGTCCAACGGCGAGAGATTGGGCACTTTGGAGGGCCACCAGGGGACCATCTGGTCCATCGACGTGGACCTGAAGACCGAGCTCTGCGCCACCGGGAGCGCCGACCTCAGCATCCGCTTGTGGAACGTGCAGACCGGCGAAAACGTGTTCACGTGGGACGCGGCGTCGCCCGTCAGAAGAGTGGCGTTTTCGCCCGACAACCTGCAGTTGTTGGCCGTCAACGACAAGGTCATGGGCAGCAAGGGCGCCATTTCGGTCTACGACATCAACTATGGCAACGTGCACGACCAGCAGGTGGAGCCCAGGCTCGTGATCGAGACGCGGCCTGACGCCACCAAGGTCACGGTGGCCGGCTGGGCCGCGGAAGGCAAGTACATCATTGCCGGCCACGAGGACGGCTTTGTGTCCAAGTACGACGCCGCGACCGGCGAGTTTCTCCAGACCGTGCAGGCGCACGGCATCCACACGGAGGAGAAGGTGGTGTCCGTGACGGACATCCAGTTTGCCCAAGACGACAACCTGTACTTCATCACGTCGTCCAAGGACAAGACGGCCGTGATCTTGGACGTGGACACGCTCGAGATCTTGAAGGTGTACAAGGCGGACGCGCCCATGAACACCGCGGCCATCACGCCGCGCAAGAACTTTGTGATCTTGGGCGGCGGCCAGGAGGCCCGCAATGTCACCACGACCCTGGAGTCGCAGGGCAAGTTCGAGGCGCGCTTCTACCACAAGATCTTCACGGACGAGATCGGCAGAGTCAAGGGCCACTTCGGGCCCTTGAACACCGTGGCCGTGCACCCGGACGACATGGGGTACGTGTCTGGCGGAGAGGACGGGTTCATCCGCGTGCACTACTACGACAAGTCGTACTTTGACTTTGAGTTTGATGCCGAGAGGACGGAGCGGGTTTTGGCCCAGGCGCAGGCCAACGCCACGCCCCAGGCCGCCAACTGAGCGACCCGAGCGAGTGGCTGGGTGCGGGGTATATATACGCGTGTACATTGAAGAGAATAAAAGAAAGAAAAAGCATAAAAGAAAGAAAGAAGATGAAAAAAGGAGAACATAAAGAGAAGATAAAAGAAGAAAGAGAACGAAATAAGGAGAAGAGAATAAAAGAAGAAAAAGAATACATCATAAGAAAGAGAAAACATCATAAGAAAGAGGAGACAGCATAAGAAATAAAAGAGATTAAAATAAAGAAAAGGGATCAAAGAAAGAGAAGACATCAAAAGAAAGAGAAGATAATAAAAGAAAGAGAGAGAAGAAAAGAAAGAGAACGAAATAAAGAGAAGAGAACATAAGAAAGAGAAGAGATCGGAAGAGAGAGAAGAGATCATAGAACGAGCAGAGAACACAAGAAAGAGAATAGAACATAAGAAAGAGAAGAGAACATAAGAAATAGAAAACATCACGAGAAAGAGAAGAGAACATAAGAAAGAGAAGAGAACATAAGAAAGAGAAAAGAATAAAAGAAAAAAAGAGAATAAGATAAAGAGAACAACATAAAGAGAAGAGAATAAAAGAAAGAGACCATAAGAAAGAGAAGAGACCATAAGAAAGAGAAGAGATCAAAGAAAGAGAAGAGATCAAAGAAAGAGAAGAGAACATAAGAAAGAGAAAATATCAAAGAAAGAGAAAATATCAAAGAAAGAGAAGAGAACATAAGAAAGAGAAGACATAGCGCATGTCGTGCAGAATCTTTCTATGGTCACTGCCTGATACTCGATCGAGTTTATGGTCATCCCCTGATGGAGGGTAGGTGAGTTGGAGAAGTGGCTTGGCCAGTAAGCGGATCAGCCAGCCGTGGGCTGACAAAAGAGTGTGTTTCCACAGATGGCAATCAAGCTCCGGATGATCTATCTAATTGCACCTTCTGGTGTATTGTCAGATAGGTGGATCCGAGACGCCGCATTCCTTGCTTGATCTCTCGTTGGAATCTCTGAATGTGCTTTCCCATCTCTTAGGAAAGCAGACTCGCCAACATTTGAAAACTCTTCGATTTCTGTATTTACACGTACGAGTGCTGTATGCTTGTTTCAATAAACGAAGAAGCCGCATGTCTAAGTACATACAATCTATACTGCGAAATTGCGAATAGTCAGTCATTGCTCACGTGGCAAGACCTTTTCGAGCGACGTTCACCTGAGGATTCCAGGGCCAAGACGTGTTAAAGCCCAAGAAAGGTCTATGTAGTAGACCCGAGCAACAACTTAAATAAAAGCGATGTATCGAGGCTTTTTGTTGGCTGGACTCTGTCATATGCCCGACGAGCATGTATAGTGCATTTGAGATTACACGGATTTGAGTTCTGAAATTGGTTTTGAGACTCTTGATATGTAGTCGCGGTTTGTGAATTTGGGCCACCCCTTCACGTGTCCATATCATTCAATGCCTCTCATCTGATCATGCCAACCAGTTCGTTGCGAAGAGTGCATGGGTTGATAGCACTATGGAGTTCGTGAGTTGGAGAGTACACAAATCACTAGAACTAAAGAGTTGCAAGTATATTTAAAGACATGTCTTTAGGAATTTGGTTATTGGGGTATTATATGAAATGCAGAGTAATGCTTGGTATAGCACCAGAATTGGTGATTATACTGAAAAGTGACCTCGAAAGCAGGTGAACAGAGATTTGGAAAAGCGGGGCGTGCATCCCATATGTAATATACACTGTCTACACGTATTTACTTGCCACTGGCTTTCCAGGGCGATCTTCAATGTTTGTATTTTGCAAAACTTCAAAGGGCCGACAAATCCCCACCGGAGAACATCCACTAGTAAACTAGATATCACTCGTCCATCACATGGCCTTAGAACATGGTGATGTTGGCACTATTTGTGGGTCCGTAGGCTCTTTGGATAGTCAGCAGTGTAGCCAAATTAGTGTTGTCCTGAAGATGCTTGACGTGTTCGAACTTTGGGGGCAAACATTGCTTGAAGTCAACAAAACGTCGAGCATTCCCGAGCGGGGCCGCTAGTTCAATCAAACAGGTCAATACAGGTCTTTCCTGGAATTACATTGAATTAGACTTGTTTTCGAGCCAATCACATCCAAATTGTCAGCTATATGAATGAGAACAGCAAGCACTCTCCAGGGAATCAAAATATGGTACTCAATCGAAAACTGAAGTCTATATCATCTCTCGAAAAGCACAATGACACCTAATCTCTGCAGTAAACGCTCTTACCAATGCTGGTATGACCAATCCCGCAGTGCAGCATTCAAACATAAGGCACCAATGATCGCTCAACGTCACTGTTGCAGCCTTTGTTTCTTCCAGAAATACTTTCGCTTACTAGCTACTCTAGGCCCGAGCTTGGCGACTTCGCCGACATGAAGCCTTCCATAATGGAGACTGGCGAATGTTTCCTCGCGTACTTTCTGGCATTCTATGGCCTACGAAGAGTCACCGGAGCCGACAGAGCTATCATGAGTCGTGCATTGTATGTGCTATATGTGGGATCTGCCATGCAGAAATGCAAAATGAGAGGACGCCTTTAAAGATGTCCCACTTTCAAAGAGAGAAGGCCCTGTATACACTGCGAGTCCTTGGCGTTGGGAATTCTCTGGTGGCTCGGTGTGTTCGTGCTTAAAGTGGCCAAGGGCTTGCGGTCCTTGGGCGTCAACTTGAACGTCATGACTTGGGTTGCGGCCTGTGCCGACTGGCGTGCAAACCCCGGCTGCTTTTTGTTGGTCAAGTTCATCACAAGCTCGGGGAGCCCACTGCTGGCCCTCTTGTCGGACCTCTCGTCGCTGGCCGTGGCAAGCATCCTCGAGTAGAGCGAGACCCTAGCACCCGCGTCGTGGGGCGTAGAGGGCGGCTGTACTGGGCCAGCCAGACAGGCCGCGGTCAAGTCAGCCGCGGAAGCGGCGCGGACGGGCGACACCACAGAAAAGCCCGGGGTGTGCGGGAACGGCGAAGTCTCTGCTTTCGCCAACGCCGGCCGAAGCGGCGTGGATGCGTAGAAAGGCGCGGGCGGGGTGGGGACAGCCGCGAACTCGGGCGCCGGGGGCAACTCCGTGACCTCCTTGTCGGTGTTGCGGAGCCGGCGGAGCAGCTGCCTCTTGTTCTGGAACCAGATCTGCACGGCCTTCTCGGACATGCTGACCCTGGCCGCGATGGCGATGCGGCGCGCCTTGTCGGGGGTCAGGCCGAGCTTGAACTCGTCGTTCAACACGGCCAACTCCACCGGCGAGGTTCTGCGGCGCTTCCTGCGCGCCAAGGACGCGTTGTCGATGGACGGCTCCTGCGAGGGATACGTCGCGGGCGAATGGCTGATGAAGGCAAAGTCGCGGGACGGCAGCGTCGTGCTGTGCTTGCGTTTAGAGCCCGTCTTTGCGTCCGCCGCCTTGGGCGTGGAGACCTTGGCCAACGAGACATTGGGCGTGGAGACGCTGGCGGTGGGCCTGAGTGTGGAGACGCCGACGGAGGGTCTGGGTGCCGAGAACGCAGCGGGTTCCCGCGGGGACACGGCGTCCAAGATCTTGGTGGTAGCCAGCACTGGCGGCGTCCGGCCGGCGAGCTCGGGCAATGTCGTCAACGCCGGCGTGCTTGTGGACCGGATGCTGGGGAGCACGTAGCGGGGGGTTTGTGGGGTGGCGAACGAGCTGGCCGCGGGCAACGCGGGCCGCGGCGGCGACGACGTTTCGTTGCCAAGCATGGCTGAGAGCGGCGGGAGCAGGAAGTTGGCCTGGTGAGCCGCGGGCTTTTCCAAGCGGTCCAAGGAGAGCAAGGGGCGGGACCTGTCGGGGGTGGAGACGAACATGTGGTGGGCGGCCGGGTCGACAGTTGGGTGCTGGTGTTCAGAGCCGGGTGCTGCTGTTATGGCTGCTGTTATGGCTGCTATTTTGGCGGCTGTTTTGGCGGTTGATGGCGGCTGTTATGGCTGCTGTTTTGACTGCTGTTATGGCTGCTGTTATGGCTGCTATTTTGGCGGCTGTTTTGGCGGTTGATGGCGGCTGTTATGGCTGCTGTTTTGGCGGTTGATGGCGGCTGTTATGGCTGCTGTTTTGACTGCTGATTTGGCTGCTGATTTGGCTGCTGTTATGGCTGCTGTTATGCCTGCTGTTTTGACTGCTGCTATAACTGCTATTTCCCCTCAGCGTTGTGTAAAAAGATGGCTGCAAGAAAAGAATATGTTGGAGGGCGCAAACAGTCTAGACGCCCTGGGGCTAGAAATGAACGGAAGGAAAGACAAGGATGAATCGACGGAATATTGGGGAATCGCGGCCGGTGGACACAGAAAGCCAGTCCGAGGGGCGTGCTTCGGGAAATGCAAAGCTGTGTGGTTTCTTGCTCTGCCTTGATGATGGCAGCCCGAAGAAAAAGAAAAAATAAGGTGGGAATGCGTTTGCTCGAAGTGGCGGAAAAAACTGAGTGAGCCAGGCCCTGGGGCAGGGCAGTGGCATTTATAGGTGCGGTGCCAAACACGAACCGCTCAGGATCTGGCGTGAGGCTTGGGGCCCGCTAGATCGGCAGGCACCATGCAAGTAATTACGGGCCTTTTTCTCGTGGCTCCTGCCTGCGCGCCGCAGTGTTTTTGTTTACTGCTCGCGGGCTGATTACGTGCGTTTCGCGAATGGGGCGACGCGCCCCAGGCACCGGGGCCACGGGCCGAGCGGCCGCTGGCTGGCACTGAGTTTCTGGCCCCGCGCCCGTGTTTCTGGCCCCGCGCCGCCGCCAGGCCACACTCGATTTTTCGCCAGAGGCCGCATGGGGCCTGCCAGGAAAAAGCCGGGCGGAAACGATGGCGGGTCCTAAAAAATGTGACAGACAGGATGGCCAGAAGGGCCAATTAGGAACCTACGTTCTGGGGACTAAAAATGGAGAGGCCCAATTCTGAAGACGGTGTGGACAGGCGGCAACAAGGGAAGGCCACTGTGCAAAAGGTCGTGATGCGGAGGGAGCACAGTATTGAAGCCAGGAGGAGAGGCTCACAGTATAGAAAGCCAGCACATAGCAAAGAAAAAATGTAATATTATAATGCCCAATCTTCAAGGCCACTATATAATATCTTCGGTCTAAAAAGGCCGCTTGATGACGCCTAGTCTAAAAGGGCCCCAATTCAGGGCCTCAGTCCAGGGCCTCAGTCCAGGGCCTCGTCCAGGGCCTCAGTGGGAAAGACAGTACATAAAGACCACACTATAAAACGACCAGTCTAGAGAGGCCACAATCTAAGGACACAAACAACATCCAGAAATCTCAAAGCCAACGGCCAAATAAACAATGCCTTAGACAAGGCCACAAAATATACCCAGCATCAAGGGCCATCCTCGCGCCCCGCGGCTTCGCCCCAAGATCTCAAGCACTGGCCTGCGTTTCAGGCAACAACAAGTCTGCGCGTACTCAGACTGCCCACTTGAGCGATGACGCAATACGCGGGCCCACGGCCATCGTGTTTTGATCTGTTCGGATGGGACAGATCCGTGCCCCCCCGAGCCGGCACAAATCCCACGTTTTGCGATGTCATCCCGATCGCCAGGCCCGAAACCTTATGATTTTTTTTTTTTTTGGAGGAATACAGCATCTCGGGGGCCTGGAAAATAATCCCTGCTCGCAAAATAGGGCCGGGCCTATGGCCAACACGCTCGCGCTCGCACAGGCCCTTGCGGGCTCATAATCTCGCATGCCGAAAATACCCCAAACGGGCATTTGCCAGTTCCCTCCGAATCGGGATAATTTCTCGATGCGTCTCAGGTTGATGCCAGGTGGTCGGATAGGGCGAGTTTATTCGCCACACCCAATGGTGGCGGCTCAGGCAACCTTGGGTTGTTTCTTGGCCGTTTCACCATTCGCTCTGTGCAAGCCTTGAGGCTTCGGGGTGCTTCGAAACAGGCGTGGGGATTCCTTCTCCAAAATTGTCTCTTCGAAACGGGCGTGGAAATTCTCTTTTTCCATATAGGCACAGCCTATTTTCTCATTCACGATTCGAAAATACACGATGGCCTAATTGAACCGCGAGCATTTTTTTTTGTTCTTCGCGTCACCGTCCCTTCGGTATGAACTGTTCGATTACACAGGCCTCGTTTGCTCGCGATGGTTGTTGTCTTCAGAAATGAACCATGACAATGCAATTTTTATTCTCTCTGCCTTTGAAACAAAGCACTATTAATAAATCCCTCGACCACGCCTGTATTTTAAACAAGTAGACGGAAATGGAAACGCTAGGCTCTAGTCGCTAGCGGAGGACTCGCTTACCGATGCGAGCCTGTCTCTTAAGCAAGCATGGCCGGAGTAAGCCAATCGTGTCTGATCTGTCACGATTTCCCATTGTGTCCAACAATGCTTTTTATGGTGCTGCCCCGCTCGAATGTTGAAAATATTGAAAAAAATATACCCTAGGGGTCATCAGAAACAAAAGCAGCATCTCTGTGTTTCAGGGCGAAGTATTTCTAGGAATCTTCTTGACCTTACCATCCTAAGACATATGCTTCTTTCGGTTTGAAGCTTCCCGCTGTATTGAGAAGGGTATATTATGAGGATTGAATTCAATACTGATAGAGCTTCATCTGTATACCGCTCTTTCTACATGTCTAGTATGCAGATTCCCGAGATGAGTATTCGGATGGACTTGGTATGTCAAAAAGCGAGTTTCAGACGCTCAGAAAGCCTGAGGCGCTCCTAGACATACACCATAATCTTGAAAACTTAATAATCAGTTGGACGTTGAAGTTTAAAGTGGGCCCCCTAGTGAACGTGTATTCGTAGAGTTTTGTAGCAGCTGAACTGGGTGCGCACCAAGGCTAAATTAATTGGCTTTCTCAACACCGACAGATTCTCATGTAACTTCACGGCTCGTGCAAGATTTTTTTCTCGACATGTTTTGGTCTGCGGCTCCACATTCAGATTGGCTGCAGCCACTACGGCCAGAGGTACACTTTGGTTTTGAAGGATTCCCCGAGCCTATTTCGTGGAAGTAGCTTGATTTCGTGAAAGCTCTGTTTCTACAACACTTGCGCAATCAATTGAAGAAGAAATTGGCAGCCATACAAGTCTCTGCCCCGTGCATTTTGGTATCTTCAGTGTCCATCTTGCGTCCGTGATAAATTGGTTTCTTCATCAATACTGGCTCTTAGGCTGTCAAGGATTTCTTTGTCTGGGAAGTAGTCCGCGTCACGTGCCTTGTGTGCATCCCAAATTAGAAGGGCAAGATCCTCGCAGTGAAAATCAGCCTATATTTTTTGTATTCCAAAACATCCTAAAACCCATTCAATCCTGTGGCTCCCGCTATTCTTGCCCTCATTTCTGAGCCCATAACCACCTCCGACTGCGGTTGCGAAACTCGCACGGTCACGTGGTCGTTGATTGTTCGTCTCGCTAATAATTAACAAGATACTCCCAGACAAAACCATTCCTCCGCATACTAAAGTAGACTAATGACCCGCCCAAGCAGGCTGCCATGGGCTGTTTTAGTTACAGCGCTGGTGGTGGCACTCGCACTCTGGGCTTTTGCCCCCACCGCCCTTTATCTCCTCTCGCTCAGCGAACACACCACCCGCTACATCGTGGAGCCTGTTTTGACGTCTTCAAGTACAGATTCCCTCAGGAAGTTGGGACTCACGCCCAAAAAATCAGTCGAAATCACGGTTCCAGAAACAGGCAAAAAACGCACCATTCATGGGCGGTTTCTCCACATCACAGATTTCCATCCAGACCCCCACTACAGGGCCGGCTCGAACGTAGACAATATGTGCCATGGAGGCGAAGGCCAGGCGGGCAAATACGGCGACGCCATTCTCGGATGCGATGCGCCGATGATCTTGGTCGAGCAAACGATCGATTGGATCGCAGAAAACTTGAAGGATAAAATCGATTTCATTGTATGGACGGGCGACAATATGCGCCATGATAACGACCGCCAGTACCCGAGAACAGAACAAGACATTTTTGCCATGAACGAGCAGATCTCCGATCTAATGTACAAGAAATTCGGCGACATGCCCGTGCCTTCTTTGGGAAATAATGACGTGTATCCCCACAATCTTTTTGCGCCTGGGCCGACGCTTCAAACACGGGAGTTATACAAGATCTGGAGACCCTTTGTGCCGCAGTCACAGCTCCACATTTTCAACAGGGGCGTGTATTTTTTCCAGGAAATCATCCCTAATAAGATGGCCATTCTTTCCATCAACACGCTCTACTTGTTCCAGTCGAATCCATTGGTCGAGACCTGTGACAAACGGAAGGACCCGGGCTACAAACTCTTTCTTTGGTTGGGCTACGTGCTCAAAGAAATGAGACAACGAAACATGAAAGTGTGGCTTACGGGCCATGTTCCGCCCACGGCCAAGAACTATGACATATCGTGTCTCCGCAAATACATTCTCTGGTCCCACGAATATAGAGATGTGATTATCGGTGGCTTGTACGGACACATGAACATCGACCATTTCCTCCCGTTGGACGCCAAACAGGCCTACAAGTCCATGGAGAAAAAGTTTTCCAGCTTGGGGTATCAAGCAGAGCAAAACTGGGACTCGGACTCGGACGATGAGGGCTCTTTAGTAGACTTCGGCCTGTTGGAGGAATTGTACGGCTTCTACAACTCCTCGGTCGTACAAGATACAGTCGACAGCTTGGAACAGGAGTTTGGATTTGATCTCTCTTTTTCGAGAAACATCGAGATACAGGGCGGCACGCCGATGAGGAAAGTCAATTACATGAATTCTGTCAGAGAGGGAACATACGCAAAAATCAAAGGCCGCAAGAAATCCGGAGCCCACGGAGAAAGGTACTCTGTGGTCCACGTGGCTTCGAGTATAGTTCCCACTTTCAATCCGGGAATGCGTGTATGGGAATACAACATCACTGAGTTGTATGAAACCGAATCATACCAAGGTCTAGGCTGGGACCAGTTTTTTGCGCAGATCGACCAGGTATTCGACCAAGAAGAAGCTGCAGATGATGACGACATGTTTGCCACTTTCAAAGAAAAAGCCAAGGCCTTAAAACGAGACAAGACAATCCCTCGCAAAATGCCGAAAAATACGCCTTTGGGTCCTGCTTACGTGCCTCAGTTATTTACACCCGAACGATACGTGCAGTATTATCTCGACTTGAAGTCGGCCAACGACAAAACTAAAGATTTCGGATACGAGATTGAGTATACCACCGATGACAAATCCGGATATAAGATGAAGGATTTGAGCGTGGCAGAGTGGTTGAAACTTGGGCGGAAACTCGGCCAACCAATCAGGAATAAAGATAAAGCCGATACGAAGGGCAAACAGACCGTATTAAGCAAACTCTGGCTGACGTTTTTGTGTTATAGCTTTGTGAATTCTGACTACGAGAATCTTGGATACGGATAGTCAAAAATGCTGAAGACAGTGAGTAATATTTAACTTCCAGGATCACGCACTTTTAGACTCGCGAAATACCATGAGTTGCCAATGCTTTTTCTGAATTGCCACAAGAAAGAAATGGTTTTTTTGTATCTTTCTAAACATTTTTTGTGTCTTTAGCAATTCAAGTTCTCATTCATTGGAGCTGGTGTTGTATTTTATGGCAATTGGGAGCGTCCTTGATGCAGCAAAGACTTTCTAATTCTTGTTATCGGACTGAGATGCTGTGAAGCTTCATCTTTTAAATTCAGTTCGCCCTCCGGCAGTTTAGTCCTTTCTGTTCATTCTTATGTGGGTTTATATTCCGAAAACCCCTAACATATAGGGAATACTCCTAGAAACAATTTCACAGAAGGAGCAGCAGAACAAAGAGTCTTTGTGCAAATCACGTGTTTCTTTTTCAAGGTTAACCCGCCGTCAATACATCTCAAAGCGAATCGTTACGGACCTTTCCCTATTATTATATTCAGGGCTTTTTTAAGCTTGTTGTTTTTGCACTTTGACGTAGAGATTGGCATACGCGTTTATAAAACCCTTCAGCGATTGAGAAATTTCCCTAAGCTTGTAGAAAAATCACTTCGGAGTCATGCCCATATTTTATGTCTCCATAAAAACTTGCGTTTCTATTGCTGACACGGGCTTATGTAGAAATCGCTATACTCGGCCTGGGCGACAACTTACAAAAACTGCCAAATTACATACGTCTTGGGCGCATAGTTGCTTGTTCCAAAGCAAGCAGCGATACCAAAATAGGCCGTCTTTTTTTCTTTTGTAGTCGGCGAATTCTCGCGTGACTTTTACTTTTCCTTTGTATTGTATGGATGTAAACATTTGTACCAATTTAATTGCACGGAACCACATGCGGTAGTCCCTACCATGTCTCCGCCACATTCGTCTGGGAAGTTTCTGTATGTTTCTAAAAATTTGGCCACGCCCAAGAAAGAAAAGAACGAAAAATAGAGTAAGACAAAAGAAAGAAAATGGTCTCATGAACCTTCCCCAACTTGAATTTCTTGCCGGCATCAACAAGAAAATCTCGTCTAAGGATGCATTGTCCACCAATTTTTCGTTTACGTCTACGCCCCGTGTAAAGAATACTAACTATTGATTGGTCCTTGAGAAATTGGAAAGAACAATGTAATTCTTTTCTGTTAGTAAGACAGTCTCTACGCCTGCTCCATGAGTTTATCCAAGATCACAACCAAAGCACATCTTGAGCTCGTCTTCAATTTGAACCATATAAAGGTCTTGAACATCCCACATATTTTACACTTGGGTAAAAGAGTATCACATTGTCAATATGAAGTTGCTCGCCATTATTTCTCTTCTTGCTTTGACTTCAGCCGGGTTGACAGGAACGTTCAAAGTTTACTCGGTGGAGATGGATCGTTATGAACTTGAAAAGGAACCTACAGAATTAATTAAGATAATTGGAAGTCTTAATTCAAAATGGGACGGAAAAGCCTATGTCGGTGAAGCTGCGACGTCATATACCATAAAGAACGATCATGTACACACAGACGTGAGAACCTTGCGAATTGGTCCAGATGATTCACTTGAATTTGCTCTTCAAGGAGAGAAGGTCCTGGTTGTCGGTGGATTCTTGTTTTTCAACGACTTTCATGTCTTTTGTTGTTCTGCACAGAACTCGAGGATCACCCTTGATGCAACATGTAGAGGTGGAACAAAAATCATGATAAAGTTAGATCAAGAAAATTGTTCCAATATTTTGAAGAAACAATGTCTATTTATGTATAGGCAAAACTTTCAAACCATTGAATCGTCCATCCAACAAATTTCTTGCACTTTCATAACCCTTAGCTTTCTTCTATTCTTGTGGCTTTCTTATGGCTTTGTACTATATAATCCATTCACAAGCCTGCTTCTGCTCCAGTATACTTTTCCCACATTGGAGAGTTTGTCTTAACAGTGATTCAAGCCTCTCACGTAAACACGAGCCAGATTTGCTTATTGACGCGTTGCAACGCTTTTACTGTCACTGGGCTGTATATTCAAATGTGGAAGACGGCAACAAGAGACTTAATTAAGAATTTCCACTATCAAACGTTTTCCTGTGAAGATGCTTGATTTTTTTATCTTATCTTCAATCACAGACATGGAAACTTATGGTACAACCCTGTGCTAGTCAAGTCTACATTTCCGAGAAAGAATTGCACTCATTTTGAACAAATTGATTTTTGAGGACATCTGGTGCGATCACTTTTGGTTTTTCATTCCGTTTATAATTTTGTTTCCGCTTAGATATGCTTACTTTTAATTAATAGCTGCACACGCGCAACGTTCCTCAATGTTTGTACGCTATCTAAAACTTTGAGATTTAATGACCCCGCGCTTTTTAGAAATACTATTGAATGACTGTACAGCTGCAAATGATGATAATTACACAGTTTTGGATATCACTGGGTGTGGCAAAAGAGGTATTTTACAATTCAGCACGCAAACAAGGATGGCTGTGAAAATACCCACAGAGAAAAAACAGGGGAACCTGTACGATTGCGGATCATGTCTTCCAAACACATTGTCGGCGAAATACAAGCTAACATTCATACTCATGGAAGTATACTTCATCAATGAGGGTTATTTCCAACTTATATGAAGAGGAGATCAGTCCACAGTTGCAATATACCGCTCACGTTGAACGAAGAGTAATCCCTACTTTGCCGCTGGTACGAGGATACACCCGTACACCTATACACACTGACGGCACGTGACAGTGTTTAGGGCTTCGCCCCTCGCGCAGTACGCCTGGCCAGCGAGCGTGGCACGTGACCATCCTAGTGGGCGTTGGCCGCGTGGCCGGGCTAAAACAAGCAAAAAATTTGCACCCTCTTTCTTTCACACCGTATCTTTTTGAGGGCCATTAAATACTCCTAACGAAGAAATATAATCGAAATGGGTGGAACTCGTGACAAGAAAGTGCAATACTTCGCTAAGTTGAAGGAGTTGTTGACCGAATACAAGTCTATCTTTGTTGTTGGTGTCGACAATGTCTCTTCCCAACAAATGCACGAGACCAGAAAGTCCTTGAGAGGCGAGGCCACCGTGTTGATGGGTAAGAACACCATGGTCAGAAGAGCCATTAGAGGCTTTTTGTCTGAGTTGCCAGAGTACGAGAAGTTGTTGCCTTTTATCAAGGGTAACGTCGGTTTCATCTTCACCAACTCCGACTTGAAGACCATCAGAGAGGCCATTGTCTCCAACGTTGTCGCTGCTCCAGCCAAGGCCGGTGCCGTCGCTCCAAAGGACGTCTGGGTCCCAGCCGGTAACACCGGTATGGAGCCAGGTAAGACCTCTTTCTTCCAGGCTTTGGGTGTCCCAACCAAGATTGCCAGAGGCTTCATTGAGATTGTCTCTGACGTCAAGGTTGTCGAAGCCGGCAACAAGGTCGGTCCTTCCGAGGCTTCCTTGTTGAACTTGTTGGGTATCTCGCCATTCACCTACGGTTTGACTGTTTCCCAGGTGTACGACAACGGCCAGGTCTTCCCAGCCTCCATCTTGGACATCACCGACGACGAGTTGGTTTCCCACTTCGTCTCTGCCATCCAGACCATTGCCTCTGTGTCCTTGGCTGTTGGCTACCCAACCTTGCCATCTGTCGGTCACTCCGTCATCAACCACTACAAGAACGTGTTGGCTTTGTCTATTGCCACTGACTACACCTTCGAGGGTTCCGAGGCTATCAAGGACAGATTGGCCAACCCAGAGGCTTACGCCGCTGCTGCTCCAGCTGCTGCTGAGGCTGGTTCTTCTGAGGCTGCTGACGAGGAGGCTGCCCCAGCTGACGAGGAGTCTGAGGACGACGACATGGGTTTCGGTTTGTTTGACTAAACGTGCTAGTTACATTTTAGATTAATACAACAACTCCTATATCAAATGAACTCGTAGATCTGTGACGCCCAAGCACTTTTGTTGAGTGGCTTGCGTGCTAGCTGGATGCGTCTGAATAGTCCTGAATTCTTCGAGCAGTTTATTTGCTCTCGAATCTTTGGTCAAGCGTAGAAGAACAGCGTTGTGTGGTCTAATGAGTTTCATGCGTGATGGTCTTCAAACAGTGTGTCGGCTTTCCTTGATTAGCAACTGTTATTTGGGAGGAGGATGAAGGCTCTTCCGCAAAGCTATGCAACAATGGCTCCATTAAATAATCTTCACGCGGTGAATTCGCATCGATCACTCCAAGCGTTCAGTCGAAGTGATCCTTCTGGAAACGGGTCTGACATCTGACAAGTGGGCTCATTATATTGCCCCGAAAGTCAACCTCACACCAGCTTGGAAAGAAGAATTGTTTTAAGCGCCATGCTCTCCCGAGAATTAAAATGAAGCCTCCAAACTGATGATCCTGAGCCTCGTATTTGAAGCTCTGTTTTAGTGTGTTCGGCACTGGCTAAGAAACAGGCGAAATCATCGCTCTCTGGGTTTATTACTATAATGCTCATATAAATCAAGCTCATAAAACCAGCGACAACAGAAGATATTGTTTCATCTCGAAACCAGTGTACTAACTTCCACGTTTTCACAGCCTTCGCTTCAATTTGGGTACTTTATATTTACTCTCCATTCAGATTTCCTCCACTGGGTCTCGAAAATAAGTATGAATAATCCACGGTACCTCGGTAGTGACCTAGTGCGCCTCACAAAATGGCCGCGCTTTTTTGCACCCAAACGCTCGCCTTACATGCTAAGAACTAACAAGCTTTCCATTTGAGTTTGACTGCAAAACACCAAGGCTCCACAAATACTTCAGCCTTCACGATTCGAGCTTCTTTGTATTGTTAACTCAAGGATCAATAGAGATACCTACTACATCCTGCTGGTTTTCCGAGAAGCTCACGTCCCGTCTGGTTCTCCAAAGCCTTTTAAAGCAAAGGGCATAGGATATAATCTGCCTTACGTTTCTTGAAAACAGAAGACCCAGATTAGGGCTCGCTCAGCACATAAGCTGAACAAATTTCAGGTTTATCTTCTATAGTAAGGGCAGCTGCTCAGGCTCCGGTTAGCAGATAATCGCACTGGCTCACAGAAACTAAGTTCTAGCCCCACGACGCCGGTCACAAAAAGCATCCTTATCGGGAAGTCGGCCCCATGGCATCCATATTCCACACCATCTACGAGTCAAAAGACTCCACATACTCGACACGGAACTTCTATGCCGAATACCCGAGTCTTGAGGATATCCAGATTGAGCCCTGCCAGTTTAAACCCACCAAATTGTCCGAGTCGTTGGCCACCATCTCCAATCTCTGCTACGACGGCTTCAAGGATATCGACGATATGCCGCAAAAATTGACAAAGCTCAGAAACACCATCATGGAGCTGATGATCTACTGTATCAGGATCGAGCGCAGTGCCTACCATGAGTACATCCAGGCGTTAGCCCGGAAGACCAATCTTTTCATGGAAAGAATCGTGTTGAAAGTGCTCCAGGCGTGCCAGGATTCCGAGAGCCCGGCAAGCTGTTTTCATCTCGTCAAGGCAATCCACGATGTTGTGTTGCTTATGTACTCGTTCACGAACCCGCTCAAAATCCCGGACTTGCTCTCGGGCATCTCATCCGTGTCCACCGAGGCACTTGTGTCGGCATTCAAGGTGGAAGATATATTTGAGGCCACCAAGGAATTGCATGCTTTCATATTGTGCTACCCGCTCCTCCATGATGTGGACATGGAGAAGCCCGTGCCGTGTTCCTCCAGTGACAACAACACGCCCAAAAAGCTCTTCAAGGGCGAGGCCGCCGAAATCTTGGACTACCTTGCCAAAATCAACTTGGTCGTCATCAACAACACCGTGCCCACCGCCAGCCTCTTCCGATATTTTGAGAGTATGCTTGCGTCAGACAAGTTCTCGCTTCTCGAGCTCGAGTACTTTGAGGAGTTTTTGTCACATTTCGCCCGCGTCAGCAAGTTCTGTCAGCTGCAGCAGAATACGGCCCTTTTTGACCGACAGAAGGAGGAGCTCCATTCGCCGTTTTTCCAGATGATCCAACTCAACCCGTTCAACAAGCTGGACTGGTGCACGCCGCTCCAGGCTGTCAACTATCTTCAGATCTTCGTCGACTTGTACAACGAAATCTACAACGAACGCCTTATTCTCGAGCGCTGGTACAACAACGAGACAGGGCACGAGGCCACGGTGGTGAGACGAATCGTGGACGAGCAAGTGGCGCAGGCATGTGACTGCCCGCAAGACCACCCGTCACCAGCCACGCCGGAATTCGTGAATTTCTTCTCGCAGTCGGTGATTCAACAATCGGAATCCACACCTGACACGGTGGCCGTGGAAAGTTCCGTGGACTACAATGGCAAGCTCGTCCACCTGCGTCCACCCGGCGGGCAGCTCTGTGGCAGACTGCCCAACATTCAGAGTCCGCTCCCAAAATCGCACAAGATTTTCCAGTTGAATGAGCAGGTGGCCTACGAACTACGAGACTTCAGGTCGCTGATCGAGGAGAGGTACCGCGTGAACAAGGTGTCGTTCAAGGAACACAAGTGCTTGAAGTGCAAATACCTTCCTTGGCACAAGCACGTGTACGGATGAGCGGGCCCTCGTGGTGCGGAGCAGTTCCTCGGAAATTTGGTGTGCTTAATGCGTTGCTTGGTTATTGAGTGGTCTCTATATATACATGCGTGATTCTTCGTTACGCGTCTGAATGAAGGAAAAAGTCGAGCAGGGCCTAGTCCCTTGGTCTGAAAAAGTCCTTCTTCTCCTCTGTCTCGATCGTCGGCTCTTGTGAGACCCGCTTGCTGATGACCTGCGTAAGCTTGTTTTCCTTGGGCCACAGCTCCGGAAGCAAGCCTGCTCTTTTGAGCAAAAACGCCACGCGGTCGCTTGTCAGCGCACCCACACCAAGCCAGTACTTGGTTCTGTGGAAGTCCAACTCGATGTGCTTGTATGGCTGGACGTTTCTGGCCTTCTCATCTGGAGTCAAGGGCACAGTAATTGGGTTATACGTGCCGAGCACCTCGATGGGCAACGAGTTTCTGGCTGATCTTATCCGGGCCACCACGATGTTGTACACAGGCTGGTGCTTTCTACCGAACCGGGCCAATCTGATTTTTATAGGGGTGCTTTTGACAGACATGCCGGGGAGTATATGTTCAGATATGGGATCCACGGGTGAGCCTGTTTGATAGCTCAGTTTTTTTTTTCGCTGGTCTGGGTGTGCAGGACTGGGCCCTTTTCCGCGAGCTCTGGTGGGTGCAAAAAACTGAAGTCGAGAGCCTGTCCGGTGGAATTCTGGGGGCAGTATTTTCTGCTCTCTATTGCGTTATGAAAGGCAAAAAATTGTGTCTTTTAAAGTGTGGATTTCTGGACTTCTGTGGGCCGACGGCGGTGAGGGAAGTCTGTTGGAGGCTCCATCTGCCTCATAAACAAGCGACGAATCTCACTTCTCTTAGACAACAAGAATGACGCCACTCGGCAAGAAAACCAGTGTTTCAAGCCGTAAACTTTTATTTTGTGATTCCCAAAACATCCCATGAGTGATATTTTTAGCACTGCATCAGGAGATGACAATCCGTCTCGCTCCCTTTCTGATGTATGTGAGCTGTACCATCCACTACACAGTGGGTAGATAAACCATTCGGTTCAAAGATATTTATTTGTGGGTGATACGCCTGTGCCCCTATTTCCGCATGTTTCCGTGTGAAACAGACAAACTTTTCTCTGTTGAAACACTTGTACTCGCCCTAGTGTTTTCAGTAGATAGACATGGAATTCGGTGATAATCCATTGATTTTTCACTGGCTTTCAATTTCCACATGATGCTCTGCTTCTCCCAACGGCCATTATTTACATATAGTATATAGAGCTGACGGTGTTCTAAGTGTCTGGAATTCATCTTCACTGAATAGACATAAGGTTGTTATAAGCAAACAGAAAAGGTCCGCGTTTTTGAGCCGACATTGGGCAATGGCGCAAGATAAATTTAAGAAGGCACAACACCATTCCGAGAGGTACCCTTGTGTCGAAGATTCTCCCTAATATGACATCGACAATACAACTCATACTAGACTACATTTCACTCTAGATCGACCCCTTGGCGGAGAAAACGCTCAAGACATACGACGGTCCATGCAGGGCCAGTATGTCGTTTCCAAAACCATAGCTACCGTTCATACACCAGTGGTATGCATACGCCCAGGCTGACTCAGGTGACTCAGGGAGATCTCCGTCAAGGCCACTTCTCGGATTCGAAGATTCTTTAATTAATTTACAATGACTAGGTGACCCAGACTAAAGCTTCTTTCTTGCCTTGAACTTCTGTTTGGGCTTCGACACGCCCGACTTTTGGGAATACTTGCCCTTCTGGGCCTGGCGAGGCGCCGGCTTGTCATCTTCCGAGTCAGACCATTCCTCCTCGTCCTTGGATTTCTTGAACTTCAACTTGTTCTTCTGGCCTCTCACTGGGGCCTGTTTCACCGCATCCAAGTAGGCATCGATGCCCGAGCCCAGGTTCAAGGGGTCGTCGTTGGCCTTGACCATCTCCTTGAACACGATCTTACCGTTCTTCATCTCGACGTCGTGCTTCTTGACGTCCTTCTTGGTAAACTTCTTCGGCTTCGAGGACGAGATGTGTGCAAGGGTCTGGCGGTCCAACAAGTTCAAGGGCTCGTCGCCCGTGTCCAAGATGAACTTGTCGCTGGCCTTGTTTCTGGAGCCCTTGGTGGGGGCGTTTTCTGGCTCGTCGTCCGACTCTGAGTCCGAGTCGTACACGGCCTCTTCGTAGGCGGACATGAACTGTTTGGCGGTCTTGCCCTCGGTAATGTCCTCCGCGGCGTCGCGCTTCTTGGCCCGGGCCTTGGACTTCTTGATGTTAGCCACCAACTTACGGTCCTCCTCGGGGATTGCCAGCTCCACGGCATCAATGCCGAACTTGCGGATAAGCCTCTCGATGATGTGCTTGACCTTGGACTTGAAGTGGTTCTTGTGCTCGTGCGACCATCTCATCAACTTGCCCAACATCTCCGGCAAGTTCAGGCGGATGAAGTCGTCGGGGAGCGACAAGACCTCGACCTTGACGAAGCCGATGGCGGACTTGGCGATCTCGCGGGAGTTGTGGGTCAAGAACAACTCCACGGTGGACGCGAGCTCGAGGAGCACGTCCTGAGGCAAGTCGTCCTTGAACTCATAGACGATGCACGAGACGGCGGTGATGGTGGCGGAGATCATGTGGGGCGACTGTGCGGCCAAGCCGGCGCTGACCATGGTGAAGAAGCTGGTCAAGCTGGCGTCAGACGGCGCGGCGTCCGGGGCGAAGCCCGGCACCTTGCTGTTGTCGATGGAGCCGCCCTGCTGCATCTTGCGGCCCATCTGGATGAGGAGGCCGTAGGCGGCCTCACGGGAGCGCTCGTTGACGTCCTTCGTGGACATGATGACCTCCTGGAGCACGGCCGGGATGAAGTGCAAGTCAGTGGCGGGCAAGGCGCTGACGACACACAGCATGGCGGCCAAGCGGGCGGCGCGGGCCGACGTGTGCGTGGAGTGGGTGGTGTCGACAAACACGCGCTGAATGTCAGCGACGAACAGCGCGATGGCGGGCACGCCGGCGTCGGCCTCGCTCAAGCGGGAGATGACGCGGAACGCGCGCTTCTGCATGGGCGCGTTCAGCTCCATGGCCACGGTGCTGGCGAAGATGGCGAAGAGCGCGTTGTACGACGTGGCGGGCACGTACTTGGCCATGGTCACGACGAGGTCCATCATGGTGACGCTGAGGCGCGGCGGCGCGTCCTTCTTGGGCGGCGCGGAGTCGTGGGCCTCGTCGTCCAAGGCCTTCTTCAACAAGCCACAGACCTTGTCGAAGGTGAGCTGCAAGTCGTCTTGCGGGATGATCTGCAAGTACACGTTGATGGTCTCGACCACGAAGCTGCGGGTGTCGGGCATGGTGGACGAGAAGACGTTGAACAAGACGGCCAAGATGTTGGAGGCCTTGGCGGCCAACACGGCCACGTTGTGCGCGGCCGCGGCCGGCGAAAGGCGCAGCTGCGCGAGCGGGGCCGTGTTGGCGGCGTGGGCCACGTTGGACTCGGCCAACACGCGCAACGCGTTGCAGAGCACCACGCGCAAGTCCACGCGCGAGTAGAGGAGGTCGGCCACGCGCGCAGCGAAGTCGTCGGAGAAGGCCGCCGGGAGGTCGTGCGGCAAGTTGCAGAACGGCGGGAGCAACGCCCACACCTGGTCCTCGATGGTCTGGAAGATCTTGCCGTGCACGGAGTCCTTCGCGCCGGCCGCGTGCGCCTTGGCGGCGAACACGTCCGCGAGCGGGAGGATGTTGAGCTGGTAGTAGGCCAAGCTGGCGCCGCGCACGTGGTCGCGCAAGAGCGGCAACATCCAGGCGCGGCCGGGCCCCGCCGCGCCGCCCGTGAGGTTGAGCGGGAGCGTGGCCAAGACCACCTCGGGGCCCATGGCCGCCACGCACGCGGCGATCAAGTCCTCGGCCTCCTTGTTGTGCGGGAAGCCGTCCAGCTCGTTGGAGCGCCACAGGCCCACGGTGGCGAGCACGCCCAAGAAGCCCGGGTTGGCGCGGGCGCCGAGCCGCGCCACGGCCGCGGTGGCCACCTCCAAGACCTCGCGCGTGGCGTGCTGGTACTTGATGGCGAGCAAGTCGTGCTCGATGAAGCGCGCGAGGAACCCGGCCGCGGCGTCCACGGCGGCCAGGTCCGCGGCGTCAGAGGCATGCCCGCCAGACACATCCTCGGCTGCGGCGCCCGACACATCCTCGCCCGCGTCGCCAGACACGGCCAGGCCGCCCTCGGCCGGCACGCCTGCGCTGACCACGGCCACCAAGCACTGCGCCGCGGAGATGTAGATGTCCTTGGCCTCCGCGGCAAGGAAGGCCGCCACGAGCGGCACCAAGGCCTCGAGGCGGCGCAATGCCGCCGCGGGCGCCACGCGCGCGTACGCCTGGAAACCGCTGGCCACGGCCGCGAGCCACGCCGCGGCCAAGTGCGCGTCCGCCACGGGCGGGCGCAAGTCGAGGAGCACGTCCAACACGCGCGCGGCGCGCGGCGCGTCCACGGCGTGCACCATGGCCGAGAACAAGCCGTCGAACGCCGCGAACGCCGCGGCCACCATGTACTGGTCCAGCGTGCGCGCCGCCGCGAGGAGGAGGTCGCAGAGGCGGTCCGCGTGCGCCGCGGGCCACGCGTTGGCGGACGTGATGGCCGCCACCAACTGCAACGCGTGGATGGCCGCCGCGTTGGTGTCCTTGGCGCCGCCCTTGCGTGCGGGCGGCGCCGCCACGAGCGCGGCCAAGCGCGTCGCCGCCACGTCCGCACACAAGCCGGCCGCGGCATGGCCCGGCGCCGGCGACGCAGGTGGCCGCAGCAACACCGTGTGCACGGCGTCCTGCGCACGCTTGCGCACCTTGGGCCGCGCGTCGAAGGCCAAGTCCAACATGCCCGCCAACGCCCGGCGCGGCGACACGTGGCCGGCGGCCTGCCACAGCTGGGCGTCCTGCGCGAGCAAGAGCGTCTCGAGCGCGCCGAGCGCCGCACGCACGAGCGCCGCGTCCGCGCCGCCGCTGGTCAACACGGGCGCAAGCTTGGTCAAGAGGGCGGCAAACTTCTGCCGCAAGAGCGGCGGTGGGGCGCAGGGCAACGCCACGTCCAAGAAGTACGCGGCGGCCGTGGCCACGCCGGCGTCGGCAATGCGATCGCCGGCCACGGCCTGGTCGAGCAACGCGAGGAACGACACCACGTAGGCCACGAGCGTGCGCGTGGTTTTGTGTTCGTCCATGTTCTCCTCCACGGCGGCAAGGATGAGCGCGAGGTGCTTCTGGTTGTCGAGCTTGGAGTGGATTTGCGTGCGGATCTTGGCGAGCCGCTCGTCCATGAACACGGCTTCGGGCGGGGCCCCGCCGTCGGGGTTGAGGTGCGCCATTTTGGGGAGTAGAGAAGAGGGCGTGGCTGGGTATGGGCTGGGATGGGGAGGGTGTATTTTTTGCGAGATGGCGTCACGTGATGCGCGGCGCGCGGGGCCTGGCGCCTGGGGCCTGGGGCCGGCCTGGGTCTCGATATCAGATTTCGCGCTTCAAGTATGTACGGTGCTTCGGATCCTTGGAAGACTGCTGTCTCTAGAAATCCTTGGATAAGAGGGGAAAAGACAAGAGGGGAAAAGACAAGAGGGGAAAAGGGGAAAAGAGGAAAAAGAAGGGAAAAGAAGAAAAAAGGAAAAAGAAGGGAAAAGAAGGGAAAATCTCTTTTGGGGGTGACTCCATGGCGGATCCCACGTGACATGGGGCCTGGGGCCGCGCTGGGGCCTGGGGCCGGCCTGGGGCTTTCTAGGGTTTGCAGCATGACTGGTACCTCTATCTGGTCTGGAGGCTCATGAGGATGTATCTCTACATGGTTCTGAGTATGGCTCTGATGTATTTTGAATCAACTTTAATTTGAATTAACTTTGAAGATGTGTATCTTTTAAAGTAGGCATTCCTGAAGAACGTAGTTTTCCGATGGCTTAGGTATGTATACTCTTGATACTTTGTCAGATTTATATTCATGAGCTTACTGTATTAGAATGAGATATCAATTTTTAGTTATAATCTTTTATTCTAACAAGAGTACATAATAAATTATATACACTTTAACTTTTTTTCCCAAGGGTAACTTCATTGATCGCTAACTTAATATGAGATTTACCTTTGGTTTTGGTTTGGTTGGGTTTTGGTTCTGGATTGGGATTTGATGCCTGGAATTGGGGGCGGGGCTTGGCTTTTGGTGGGCTGCTGGTGCTTCTATTAGGGCTGCTGAGATATATAAACTTATATTTGATTAAATATGTTATTTAATTAATAATATGAATATTTTTGTAAGGAACTGATAATATTATATATATATATAAATAAATAAATAAGTAAAAGGTAAGTTAAATCTGGTGCTTTTATTAGAGCTGCTGGTGCTAATCTGCTGCGCTGCCGGCGCCGCGGCCCAGTCTCAGTACCGGATTTCTCAACCAAGTATACGGTACCTAGAACCCTCACAATATGTCGAGATAGGTGACCCCACCAGTACGGTGGTTGGGACATAAATCCCAAGAGTATAAACAATAAATCTTGCTAAATTATATGATACTATTGATATCTCCAAAAATAGTATTGCAATGCCTCTAAAACAGTCCAAGTGCCCAATTTCATAAAATACCCGTCTTCTGATGGTCAGCAGTTTGTAAGATATTGATGATTTTTTGATCGAAGCAGAAAAGACTTCTGCAGTTCAACTTCTATGCAGCGTGGATCCATACATTCTTGACTAAAAAGACCCGAGCTACAGGTCTCATAATGCAGAATTGAAGTCGAATTATCTTTTGGTATGCTTTGAAGAGACTTTGTAGAGATAATTATCGGGTAAGAAAAGACAAGAGGCACAGTCTAGAACAATCCAGAGCAGATCTGTGTTAATCAAGTATATTGCGTTATTTCTTTCCTTCTGCATCTTGAGGCTCACCCAGCTTTGAGGAAATTCTTCAAATTTACAACTCCAACTTCATTCAAGAATAAGCATTACGTATGGTATTTTCGCTCTCAGCCAAGAAAATATGTATTGGGTGCGAAATGTTTGGAGACAGGGTGGGAAAAGAAATCGAGAGGTATTGAAGCAAGCAATCGATGTATATTCATCTCATTTTTTAAAATACGACCCCGTGGATTGCTTGAGTTCTTTATACTTTGTTGGTTGAGAAAAAATTATAGCTCAGAAAGATTCTTTAGTGTAAAATCATCATGGAGACGCACCATCAACACGCAATGTGACAGTTGTATCAAAATGATAAGATGTCAAATAATACAATGAAGTGACATACGTGTACTGAAGCCAACTCTACATATACAGCTCTTTAAAAAGTCAGCCCCGTTCGAAACTCAAATAGTCTTTTAGACAGCACTAGGATGCGCGAGTGCCGTTTAGAGGTGGGAAAAACTATTAGGCAAGTGGTCCCAAAAGTGGGGCCACATGCATGGGGCGAATTTAGAAACAGAGTTCACTTAAGAGAAGGAAATATATTGTTTTCGAAGAAAGGATGAAATAAGTCCGAGTAGAGCTATGTTCATTCAATATCAATGCTATTAACCAATAACCTTTGGTCATAAATACAATGAGAAAGTTCAAAAGGAGATTTAGCATGTCAAAATTTCAAAGACTCAAAATAAAGCCACTCCCGCAGTGGCCAGCTTAATCCGAAATGAAAAACTTTTTTGTCTTCTCTCTTCCTTCTTCAAGGGAACCCTCTCATTCTTCATCTTAATCGATTCTCACGCTACTCCTGGGCAGCACACGTCCATCCCCAAAAGATCCCTATGTTCTGATTAAAGGTGCCTACAACGAGTCAGGGTTTTCTCCGATCGTCGGCTCTTCTGATCTCACCACTAATTCACATGTTTTCACCACCCCTAGTTGTAGACGAACCTTGGGCCGTATACGCATACGGGGACTGTCTACAACATTGACCAAGGCTCTAAGCAGGCCTGTAGTTTCAATGCGCGCTTCACGCAAGGTAGACTCTAGCAGAATACTACTATTCTCTAAAACCCTTGGAGGAGAAAAACAACAGGAATCTCTTTCTCTTCACGGGCCTTTTTTTCCTCGCCTTGAGAGGTGACTGCATGGCGGATGCCACGTGCCACTCCCCGGGATGGTGTGCTCATGAAATCCATCATGCATCGTCCGTCTCAGTCTCTCCCGCCATGGCTTCTTCTTTCGTTGGCCTAGTTCTCTCTTTTTCCTCTATGGCTTGGATACCGCAATCACTCCGATCGCACATCTCTTGTCGAATCCCACGCATGGGTGGTGTATCCCCAAACAGTAACGGTGTAGTGAACGTGTCGGCAATGTTATCTTCGGTCCCAACTGTCTCTGCCGTGACGTCCCCTCTTTGACCTCTATCTTAGATGTGTTTCTCCTTTATATCCACCGTTTTGCGGTTGCTTACTGCTCCATTTACGGACAAGTCAACACCCTGCTATCTCCAGGTATGATGAGCACCCCTATTGTTTCTAGGCTCAAGTCCTTGCAGAGTGCCTTCAACCATAGCACGTCGTGTACTGTGTTACTGCAACGTATTCTACTGCGTAGGCCCTCGTCGTCACCAAGCCTTGTTTCTTGGCTTTCCACGCTATCGGCGTTCCGTTAGTGTAGATGGTCTATCCCGTTCTAGACTGTCTTCCTCGTTTGCGAAAGAGGCATCGCTGAATGCGTAGGGTTTGGTTTTGTGCTCTGAATGATTGCTCTTTGACATCTCAATGCCGACGTCCTTCGTATCTCTGAGAAACACTAACGTTCGTTTCAATTGTGCCGAGTCTAATGTCGTTGCTGTGTGTGGCGGAACCGAACTTGCTTCCGGCGTATCCTATATCAAACCGGCTAATCCCCGCAAGCCAATTGTAGCTTCCTAGAATCTCCGCGTACTTCTTCAATTATTTTTCACGTAGCAAGCCCTCGCACTTCGATTGGTCGTAGTCATTGGTCGGGGTCCTTTGCATCGGGTATTACGTGTGTTTCGTGCGTTCTGAATAGATTCTCGAGGTATTTTTTGGTGTAACTTGTATCCTCCTTCCACCTTCTCAAACTCGGTGCCGCAGAATTCCTTCACGTCACCAAGATCCTTGATCTTGAAGTCTTCATAATATTCCTCGTCTTGGAAGCTGGCCAATAAGCCATACACGTATAGTATGATTTGCATTATTTCTCCTCTCGAGCTTACCTTCGTAAATAGCCTCAGGCCCGACTCTGATGTCTCAAAAACAGTTTTTGAGCTTCTTTTTGAATGTCTTATACCTCGCTCGTCCGGCATTCTTAAGTCCATGCAATGCCTTTGCTGGTTTCCATACCTTGTTTGAATCAACATTTATCACATCCTTTGGCGGCCTTACACAGACCGCCCCATCGAGTCGTGAGTGAAGATACGTGCTCAGTACATCCATTTGCTTCGTGGTTCGTCCGAGTTGAACTGCTGCTGTCATGAATAATCGGATGCATTCGGGCAGGCATCCGGCAGATGCGTTTCCTCCGGTCCAATTGTCTGTCGAAACCCCTGAGCCACTAGTCGTGCTTTCACTTAGCCGTTTTCCTTTTTGTTCGTTTCGTCTTCAGTGTGAACGAATCTAGTGCCGATGATAGTGGTGTTCTTTGGTGCTCTCATTAGGTCCATTTCTTTGAACACGGCCATATCTCTGACTTTTGCAACTTCGTCCATTTCGGCCTGTTGGAGGATGATGGATGTTGAATTTTGAAAAACGCTGACTCCTAAGAATACTTGATACTCGCTGATGATGGAAAAGCTGGATGCAGAAATCGCTGCAAATTGACAGGCGCAAGCCTGAAGGGTACTGGTTTGGGCTTTTCACTTTGCATTATCCCATGACTTCTTTTTACCATCCTCTGCGGGTTTTTGTGAGAAGATCTAACGTTCCTAGTTCATGTCAATCACCTTTACTTGTTCTTCATTACTAATCAAATTGTTATCATTGTAACCTTTATTATTTTCTTTTCTTTGTCATTATCGATCTGTTCCATTTTGAGGTTTGTTCTTGTATTGATCGATCTTTCTTGATTAATCACGGGCCCGCTGCGGGGCATATTTCTGGAGACAGCGATGGAAAAGCTGTAAAGGTGCTGGGTATTGAGATCGCTCATTAAAAAAACAAGCGTCGAAAATAGTAGGACATATTTGTCGACTCTGCATCTCTGGATCTGAAGAAATGCTGATAGTTGACAGGTGCTACATCTCAACAATACAGCTCACGCGACCCATCTCGCATAATACTTCTCTTCATGTTGTTGGCTTTGGTTCATTAACATGGAATATGTATCTCGCTTTTCTATTTCCTCACGGGCTCTCACAGCTGAATCTCTCTCATTATGTTCTCTTTATTTCAGCTGTTGAACGTAGTTGCATCTCAGGCTACCCAGGACGCCATTAGTCACGTGAGTGATTTCAGACGTGAGAGGAAAAGCCTGGGAAGTGTTGAAAAACACAAAGACTTTGAATACTAAAAATTTGAATGCAGTAATTTTAATGTGCTGACAAGAGATGTTGCATCACGGGCAGTCATCTCTTTGGAATACCATGTTCATGAGAGTGCTTAACATACCCCGCACAAGAAGCCCACTGGTATTTTGTATATTTGTTTAGCTGTATATCAATTTCAGTGACTGTATTTTTGTGTTTTTTGTTTCCTTTTCCTTGCTTTTTGTATCACGGCCGTATAAAAAATTCCCGCCTGAAATATTTCATGCGATGATGACATACATCAAATAAACGCCACTTCAGAAATGAGTTCAGCAACGGCTTAAATCTCCTCTTAGTCACATGTCACTATAGACTACTATACCTTGTGGTATATATCTGAGGCTTTCTGGGTACTCATCATTACGCTTAGTCCTCCAAAATCAGCCATTCAGACTATCGTGGAAAAATCATAAGCCCCAAGATCATGCGCAAATTGTTCGGTCCTATATGAAATTACGCAGGATCCAACGGCTTTTCGACCCAAAAATAGACACAGTCACGTGCCCGAGGGCTGTTCAGGCCAGATGTCCGGGAAGCACAGTTCAATCAAGACTGGTGCTGGACAATAGAGAAGCAATACGAGATATCGCGCATGATGAGATTGACAGAGATCACTAATTTCCGGCAGCGTGGCCCATCTCGCTTCCCAGAACAAAATTCGTCACATGCCTTCACCGACAAAAATGAGCACAATTTTCTACAAGCTGGCCTTTTATTTTTTGAGGCTCGCTTGTTTGTATTCTGTTCCGATGTGGGCTTTTAGTCTTTCATCACATCTGCCCTAGCCCAAAACTCCATCTGGTCACGTGACCGTCCAGTGCTGCGCGACGTCCGCCCAGCCAGTCAAATGTGACCCATTCCTAACCCATCGTCCGGGGCACCAAAATCGACATGTCGTCCAAGTTTGCCATTTCCGCCGCAGTGAAAGAATTAAGGTTCCACTTGTCTCAAAATGGCTCGGCCTCCGCGCCCTTGAGAAGCTTCTTGACGAAGAACTACCCGGACATCAAGTCGGCGACCAACTACAAAATCCCAGTTTTGATCAGAGAGGCCTACGGCGTGCCCCCCAGCATAACCGCCAGGTTTGAAAAGGGAAGAGAAGTCAAGAACAGCTTGGATGGGTTGGATGAGCATGCCATCGAGAACGCCGTCAAGACGTTGTTGAAGTAGACAATTGTAATTTAAGGAAGAATGATGCCGGCTGTGGGCCCGAAGCGCGCTCATGATATAAGAATGTATAGTCACAATACATGTGAACGAAAGAGAGATGGCGGGCTCTATATTTGGGCTCGTGGTGGTCCGGGAACGGATTTGTCTTTATGTATTGCGATGTTGGCTGACTGGGCCTCCATATTATGGTGACTATCTTGACGGCCCCGGTTCTTGGCTATCTTGACTGTCTTGACTGTCCTGGTGTTTGACTATCTTGAATATCTTCGCTACCTTGACTGTATTCACTATCTTGCCTCTCTGGACTTTATTTTATTGGTTCTATTGACCGCGCAATATGTAAGATGCTTCGGTCTTCCCTTCAGATACTCTCGTACCTCCATCATCTTTTGCTCCTGTTTGATGAATGGACCCGCTGGCACCCACCGAAACAGGTGACACCCACGGCTTTTACCGAAGACTCTAGATCTGCGCGGAGTATTCGCCAAACTGGTACGTGCCCCACGCCAAGCTGAGCTGGTTGTCACTGTACAACTCCGTCACCTTCCGATTCCCGCTGGCCCTGTTGATGCCTGCCGCCACCACGAGCGGCACAAAGTGCTCGAGCGTGGGGTGCGCCGCGCGGAGGAGCGAGCTGTGCTCGGTCTTCAACTTCTCGAGCAGCGGCAAAGTGTCAGGGCCCTGCTGCAACGCCTGTGACACAAGCCTGCTGAACTCGCCCACGTATGGCAACGCCCGCTGGCCCGAGTGCACGGCCCGGCCGAGGTCCCGCAAGTTGTGCACAGACATGCCGGAGCAGATGACCAAGCCCTTCAAGTGACGGTTCTGGACGGGGTCCCAGATGAGGTTGTTCTGGAAGTGGCTGAGCACCTCGCCCAAGCGCGCGTGTGTCTCGAAATCGCCCTCCCTGCCTGTGAGCGAGACCTGGATCAAAGGTGTGTGCGGCAACGCCATGTCGTCGTCCCCCGGGCCTTGCGGAAACGCAACTTTCAATGGCACCCACACGCCATGGTCAAGGCCACGCTCGGTCAATCTGGCGTGGAACCCCTTCTGCTCGAGGTTCTCCTGGACCAGGCGCGCCACGACCTGCGAGTTCCAGGTGCGGAACTGCTCCTTGTACATGTGATCCGGAAACCCGTAGAAATCGTAGATCAAGGGGTTCTCCGTCCAGTCGCCGTGGGGCCCGCTGCCCACCGGGCCTTTACGTCCGAAACTATTTACTTTAGGAGGCACGGCAACCTCTATCAAGTTCAGCCCGCCCAGCTGCCAGTGCGCGGAAACAACAAGGATGTAGTCCGGCCGCCAGTCGTTCTTGATAGTGGAGCCCAACTTGCGCACCGCCCTCCACGCTCCCTTGTTGCCGAAATCATCATCCTCGTACATAAACGTGGGCCCGCCGTGGGACACGAAAAGCGCCGGGTACGGGTTGGTGTTTGGCTCCGCGTTCCGGAATGCCGCGCTTTGGGCCGCGGCTGGGACGGACTTGCCAAGGGTGGATTTGTACGCGCTCATTCTGAAAGCCATGTACGCGATTGTTACCGCCACTAATGCTCTGATAAGGAGGTTCACCATACAGAAGGTGGATTGTATTTGCAGCACTGAGACCGTGTGCAAGGAAGCAGAAAACCACGAATTGACCAGGAAATCAAGGCAGCGTGTGACCCGTGTCTGCCTAGAGTGTCTGGCGATTATTGTTGTACTTTTTTCGGGACATGGTCCCAGATTCGTGCCCCGTTTTATGGTGGGCCGATTGGTTGCAGGACGCCGGGCCCATGACTAAAGTGATTATAAAGCAGTCTGCGGAAGACCCGTGCCTCTCTGGGCACGCCATTTCGCAGCCGCCCCCGCAGGACTCCATGGTATGCGCTTAGAGAGAGCGCACAGAGAACTGGTAGAACAGTTTCGATCTGTAGTTTTAAAATCGGTGAGAGCTTTATTCCCCGCGGCGGCCTCTATCATTAGTTCTCTAGGGGCACAGCAATGACGAAAAGAGATCACTGGCCGCCCGTTGTGGAATGTGAAGACGAAGCTGCCAGCCAAACATGGCTTCTCCTCGTTTCTGCAAAACGGAATTCTTTGGAGGCGTGATTTGGGCAATAGAGTATCAGATGTGTCCAAGATCCTTTGGGAAAAACCAAAGTGGTGGAAGGTGAGATCAGCTTTCAGCGGCGTATTGGGTCGTTCGGAATACCGAGCAGAGCAAGGAAACAACAAGTCGCATGTGACCGACAGAACCATACCCAAGGATTCTTTGCTGTGTTTTGGGTTAGTCTTTTTTTTTTTCGAAATTCAAAGACAGCAGATCCTCAGACTGTCAATGTCAAAAGGGCGGTGGACAAGACCAGCACAAACCTTGGAATGGTGCCCACTGACTGCGTTTCTTGGAAGCGGGAGTGACCAGTGGGTATTCATCAAAGGTCTGAAAAGAGAAATCTCGAGGCCAACATTCGGGCATCATGAATCTCTACTTTCTTTCCTCTGGGCACTACGATCCCAATGCGCATTCTAGCATTCGCCGGCTCCGCAGGAATCTGGCCGAACAATAAAACCACTGAAAGTGCAGAGTCCGTCTGCGTGAAAACCAAGCCGTTTCGGCAACCTCCGTATCCAAAAGAATTGTCCAAAACCACGCGCTCAAATCCGGGGACTCGGCGGGATTTTGGACCTGTGTCTACGGCCGAAAGCTTCCATGGATCATGCCAAGTCTCCGAACCCGGCAGGATACCCCGAGCGCCGCGGCGGCCGGGTCACGTGACCCGGGGCATTCGGCCGGGGCACTTTCAAGGCCGGCCTGGAACTTCGAATGCTGCCAAACCCAGCGTGCCGACCAAAGGCCCCATATAAAATAGCATGCGGTGGTCTTTCTGCAGCTCTCACGCCTGGAAGTGGTTTGTCCACTCGCCGTTTTTTTGTGGGGCGAACGGCTTATCGGTCCGCATTCATCTAGCCGTGTGCTCGTGACTGGCGAATATACAGGCTCCTGCCATCAGCATTCCGTTCCCAGCAAGCAGTCTCCGCAAAGCAGGAGAAAAAATGCCCGTTGCCTCATCAAGGGCTTTTCCCCACGTTTCTAAACTTTTTATTCCTGTGGATTTTGATTCGAGCCCCCAGCCCCGAGCCGCCCTGTCTTTGCCGGCCCCGCCCCACGATCTGCCCAATAACGCCCATCTTTCTGGGCCCCAGTCGCATTCCCCACTGCTACCTTTGGAACCCATCCATAGCGCCCACCCAGGACTGGCAAAACACACCAAAAAACGCCAAAAAAACGCCAAACACACACCAGAAAATACCAAAAAGACCCAGCGCCCCACAGCCGCCACACGCCTGCCCCAAAACGCATTACCGCCTCGAGCGTCTCCCAAATACCCGCACGTGACCCGGTCCCCAGCATCTAAATCATGGGTCTTTTCAACCGCCGCAAGTCCCACGAATACCAGGGCTTCGCCAAGTACGCGGACGAGTACAACCTCGCCGCCCCGAGCCCTGCCGCCGAGCGTTTGCAGCGCGCCCAGTCGCTTTCCAGCGCCAGCCAGGCCGCCGCAGCCGCCCTCCAGCTCCACCAGAAAACGCCCGTTTCCAGCGCCCCGAAACCCGCCCGCCCGGGCACGTACAGGCCCAGCCCCCGCTCCAACTCGCTCGGCGGCTACGGCCGGACGGCGCTGATGAACCTGTACACCTACACGCCGCAGGCGTCGTACTCCACAGGCCCTCTGCGGCTGGCCCAGGCGCCACGCACGCTGAGCTTGCGCTCCAACTCCCTCTCCAATTCCGTGCGGCTGGGGCCCCGACGGAGCTTCGTGCCGCGCTCCGTGTTCCCCGAGGAGGACGAGGAAGCCGCCACCGACGCGGACTTGGTGGTCACGACGAAGACCACCAAGGTGCTTGATGCCCAGGGCCGCACGTGCTCTATCACCACCGAGACCGTGCGCCAGATGGCCGACGGGCTGAACATCATCGAGACCAAAACGACCAACATCTCGCGCTCCAACTCGCGCGCAAACTCGCTCCAGGCGCCGCCGCAAGAGCCGCCTCTTGCCAATGCCTACAGCTTGAACAAGATCGATGAGGATCTCCAGGACTTCGACTATACGTACCTCGACCACGCGCCGCCACGCGCGAACCGTGCTGACGACCTCACGGCCAGTCCGCGGTCCCGACTCGCTGAAAACGCGCCTAGAGAACCGCCACATGTGTCGCCCGAGCGGCAAGATCTCCGGGCGGGGTCAATGACCAGTACGCAGTCGTCCAGGCGGCCAAAGTCCATCTTGAAAAGCAGTTCCAGTGCCGTCAACGCTGCTGCTGCCGTGGCGGCATCCGTGGCTCCAGACACGGGCAACGGCGCCATGCACACAGGCCCCGCATTCGACGCGTCCGCGTCCCCTGAACACCGCCGCCAGCATATGCGCTCGGCGTCCTTGAGGCTCCAGCCCGCGCCCAAGTTAGAGCCTACGCACCGGCTCAACTCAATGGCCTCAGGCGGAACTTCCATCAAGTTTTTGGACAAGGTCGAGACCATCCCATACACCTACACGGAAAACTACCAGGAGATTGCCAACGAGGAGAAGTACAAGAAGGAACAGGCCTTGCAGAATAACCTCGATCTCTACAACAAGGCCATGCAGGTGGCCACCGAGAAAGTCTATGGCTCGCCGCGTTCAGACGGGGCCCGCATCCCGGACACCGCGGAGCATGACATCCCAAAGCCAGAAGAAATCCAGCTGTTTGCCGAGAAAAAATCGGCCAAGAAGTTGAAGAGCGACGAGAAGAGAAGCAGGGTCGAGGCCTCTGGCGTCAGTAAGAACTATGTGTACACGAATCATCATACAGACTTCCCGGTCCGTTCATTAAGAAATACGGGTGATGACCATCACACTTCCAGAAAGGAACGTGCCAAGGAAGAAAAAAGGCGGTTCAAGGAGGAGGAGAAAAGACATGCGGAATTGTTGAAGGCCGCAGAAAAGCAGAAAAGGCAGGAGGAAAGAGAGGCAAAGAAACGGGAGAAAACTCATTTCTCCTTGTTCAAACGCAACAGAAGACATAGCAGCGTTGGTGGCGCCAGCTTGGGGTCTTCTGAGGCAAAGAGTTCTATTTCCAGTGAACAGACTCTGCCCTCTACAAAGCCCGAAAACAATCCTGCTCTTACCGAGGCCGAACCGCCTGTTACTAATACAGTCATTCAAGAAGAGCCAAGCTACTCGAACTTAAATGATAATGATGGCATATCAGGTGTTCTGGCTTCAGTCCAAGGCTCTTCTGAGCAACCAACTCATGGTCTGGAACTGCATGCTCCAGAAGCAGACAAAATTCCAATCATCTCAGACTCTGAGTTAGTTGATGACACTGGAAGTGGCAAAATGATTGAAGTTCCTACTTTACCTGCTCAGCTGGAAAACTTTCAACTGTTTGATGATGAAGACGATGAGTTCGTTGACGTGCCAGACAATCTTGGAGATGATTCAGATAAGAGAATTTCCGGTATTCCCTTGCTTAATCATGACAAAGCAGATGGGCTTGAAAAAGATGATGACTTGGAAAATGCAAACGAAAAATCAGCTACGGGTGAAAGTTTAGCGCTCAACGACCCTGTGAGATCGGTATCCCCGGAAATTCCCGAGCGCGGCGATTTGACAAATCAACCTGCTTCTATTCTGCCAAGCGATGGGATAGATACCTCCAAGGTTTCAAAGCTGGGTCATGGCCATTCGACACTGACTCAAAGCGCAACTTCTGCCAAAACTTTAGCTGAAGAACTTCCTACATTGGTTAGTCGTGCTGATGGGATGCCTGAAGTTTTGACTAAGAGTTGCCATCAGATATCTCAACACAGAGACACCAATCGCTTAAAAGAAACTCCTGTACATTCTCCCAAAGATGGAAACAAAGTTTTGTCTGGGAACGAACCGAGTGTGGCTGATTATGGAGATAAAAAGGCTTCTTTAGAGAACCCTGTGGTTCTGGACCAGGCCCCTGAATCTTTTGTTTTGTTGAGGCAGGACCCCAAAACTGATATTCAAGTGCTGCGTTTGCAAGATAATCAGGGCTCGGTAGAAATCAGCTCAGGTTCTATTGTCGATCTTGGAGAACAGCATGTACGAGCACGTGAAGCCAACTCGCCAAGCCTTGTCCCATCCGTACAAGCTGCCCTTGCTAAAACAGGGGACAAAAGTCTGAGTACTGACCTGAAGCTAAATACTAAGAAAAAGGGAGGCAGATTCAAGAAAGTGATTGAGAAATATTTCATCAACACCTACTCGCGCTGAGTGAATAAATATATTCATATTGGCTCTTCTTACAGTCTAGGTCAATATGTGCCCTAGTTCATATTCTATTAGTACTAGCGTCCATGTCTTTCCATGTATATTGCTGAAATTATGTAAATAATTCAGGGGATGGAGGAGGATGAAGTAATTTAGTTCTGTGACTTGTCGAAATAGGGATATGAAAAGCCAGTTACAACGCCAAAAGGTTGGACATTGAGCCAATTTTCGAAGTCCATTTTTCAATCAAATTGTATAGGTGATTCTGGCTGGTTTCCATGCCTTATCCTCATAAACAAGTTAAAGCACTGAAGCATCAGGACTATATCACCGAGTAGATCACACATTGTCCTTTCATAAATTGGTGTACTAAAATCAAAAATATAATGTATGATGATATAAAAAAGAGCGATTTTGCCCACTAAAAATTCAGGGAACGCAGATGTACAAAATATCAACCGCAAAAAAGGGCTTCTTCAATGTTCAGATACATCAATATTACATATGCTTACTGAGACACGAGCCAATATTCAGTCTCAACATCGAAGTTGATGCCATGCAGGGCTGCAAGGTGAAATGTACAAAACTTTACTTCGACTCTCTTTTTGATGACTGGAGTAATCGATGACTTGAATATATTAGATTGAAGTACATGCATATTGAGGTGCTGTTATTTTCAACTCCTAATTCAACCGGAGCGTACAAGAAAATCGAGACTTTGGCTGTGATTCTAGATTAAAACACTCTCGGGCGCCTTGCTCGGGGTATTCGAAACAAACAGTTGTGTTGGTGTATGTGGCATTCTTGAAGTCACTCAATGTACTATAAACCGACTGTGTGCATTTCATATTGGTATGTTCACCTTTAAATGTCTCGACATTAGTGAAAAACTGTCTTGTGTCATTTTTATGTCTTTTGTTCGTAGAAGCTAATAGACATGCAAGCCCCGCTATAATTGCACTCAGAATCAAAAAAATGATGACCCCGCCGACTATGAGCCGCCAGTTCAATTGTCTTACTCTTTCTTTAAATCTCTCCACTGTAGAAATTGATCTTTCCTGTTGTGACTGCGATATCACTGGATTTTCGGGTGTTTTCAGATACAGTGGAAGTGGATCTTGTGTCCCGCTAGGCTGTGGTGAGTTATTATCAAGGATAGACATTGTTTATTTGATCTCTTTGACTTCAAAAAAGTATTTTCGTCAAAGAGGCTAGCCCTTGACTATAAGTGTTCCGGGAACAATAATTACTTATATACAAGGCTTTAGGTTTTATACATGCCCTAAAATAAGTGGCCCTGTCAGGCGCCCCAAGTTTTGCGTCATACCAGGATTAATTAATGCGCGCTCTATCTTGAGTATTCTGCTCGATGACTCCACATTTTCTACTGCCGGATTTTGGAATTATAGATATTATGCCTCAAAAAATAATCCGGTCGTGTTCCGAAATGAAAGCACACAGTAGCCATAAATTTTCCGAAGTATTGAAAAAAAGCCTTCGTTTTCCTAAGCTCAGAGCTACCATATCCTAAGTTTTATGTATGCGTACTTTTCCGCACCTCAGCCGCATTTCTTAGAGGTTCTCGAGGTAACAGTTTTTTGGGCACACAATTCTTTATAAGTAGCATAAAGACTTCGATCTCACTAATTGGTGTTACCTTTGAGATGAGCTATGCGAACTCAAGCAACCCCTTACTACAAAGTGTGCCAGAATCCCTCGCATAATCTATAACTCATCTAACTTTTCTCAAATTATTCATTCATGATAATTTTAAAAACGCTTGCCAGATCTTCTGTGGTGCTTTGAGCTACGCTTTGCTTGCCGACTGTCATAAAGTGATGCAAATCAGAGTCAAGTTGCAGAGTTCTCGTATTGGTTTTGAGTATTATTGGCGATTATATAAAAATTGTTTTTTTACGAAAAAGAAGTATCATGTACATATTTTTAAGAATTGTTTATCATTTTTTCGGTATGCTTGAACATGCTCCTTGATTCTTGTGTAGAACTACAGTTTTTACACCCTGTAGCTGTGCGAATGAGACGAAGCTAGTTTTTCAGACGTATGCCTATAAAGAAAAATATGTAGGAAGTGGAAATGCACAAAACATGTTTACCAAGCCCTCAGCAAATATTCAATTTTCGCAGCTCGTCTGGTGCGCCATTGACTAGTTTGCTGGCCAAAGCAAGAACTGTCCTCAAAATAGGCTTGCTCCTAGATTCAAGTATAGGATTTCTAATTCCAGATATCTTGTTGTCAATTGACCGAAAAATTGATCCTAGTTTTGCAATTAAACTCCCGGTTATTTTCACGTGATATCCACTGCTTATCCCTGGAACGTGATGTCCTAGTGCCCTTGAGATACGGTAACACGCTAAAGCGTGTTTTGCCTCATCGATGACTGGAAGCTTCGGAGCTAATATATATAGTAAATATGAGCAGTAATCTTCATATATATGACAATTCTTTGCCAGTAAGCAAACTTACAACAGCGTTTTGAACACGCTAGATCGAAATCATTCTCATCATTTGTGGCTATTCATATGGCTTCCAGTGTACCTCTTTTGTTTCAAGCACACCCAGAAGATTGTTGCAAAGACCCGTCAGATTATATCATATACTTGCGCTATATTTTCTTTTATTCGGGTCTTTTATGTTTGAGAAACTGAATATCTTTTGTTCTCTCGCGGATAGTCTGAATCTCTGGGATACACATCAATTGTGCACGTGAAGTCACTGTCAAAATAACATCACTTTCAGCCAGGTCAATGATACCGAGCTACCAAAGACACTGCCTAATATTAAAGGGGCAATTACATGGAGAGTTGCAATGCTGGTTGGCCACGTATTTTAGAAGAGGATCTGCGTGGGTATGCGCCCTTGAGACTAGTGTTTGGAAATTGACTCTGTTTTTTTTTTTTTATTTCCTAGTATCCTATACAATAAAGGAATCTCCTATTATTCAATCTAAAATCTCACAAAGCAGCCATTTTCCCATTGTGAAGACCTTCATCGTGTAGGCTTGCGAGTATCTATTTGCTCAAGACCTGCGTATTTCGCATTGTTATGGCAACTACAACTTGCAACAAACCAAACGAAGCTAGGACAAAAAAATATATATTCCCTCACATTTATCCTATGTGCCTTCTATTTTCACAGCAAAATGAGCCAAAGTCCAAATACGCCTCCAACACTACTTTCCCCAGCACCACGTGACGAGCCCGCCCCAGAAGGTGCGTCACGTGATCGGACTGTGGAGCCTGCATCAGCGCATGGCAAGCCTTTGACTCCGGGCCCAACGATGAAAGTGGAAGAATTGGCTGCTAAGTTCACTCCCACAGAGGTCCTTAAAACAGACACGCAAACAAAAAGCGTGGTGATCTTGGGCACCGTCGATGGAGAGAATGCCATCTGCTCGCTTGAGAAGACCGCGTTTTCCATTTCCGAGGTGGGCGATGCCCTGCTCAGCAAGTTGGTGGATGGGATCCAATTGATCAATGACAACGACGTGTATCTGTGGTCCATGGCGGCGTTGGTGCAAGACTTGGAGAAGAGCCCAGGGGCAAAAGTCAATTTCATCCACCCGGCGTCGGAAACACACATCCGGAAGTACCGTTCCCAGGCCCACCATTGGGTGGCCGAGACCCCGGAAGTCTACCGCAAGATCGTGCGGCCGTTTATCGACACTCAGAAGGGCGACCGCATCCAGTGGGTATACAACATTTTGTTCAAAGGCAAGGAGTCCGAGACGTTCATTCATCATGACACGGATCCGCAGGACGGGTATGTGCTTCTTCCTGACATGAAATGGGACCGCAGCACCTTGGAAGCCTTGTATCTAGTAACCATAGTAAACCGCACGGACATCTCCAGTGTGCGCGATATCGATGGGTCTCACGTGGATTTCTTGATGAGGGTCCGGGATAACATCAAGCAGGTGGTTAGCGAAAAGTACCTGGTCGCCGAGGACCAGCTCCGCCTCTTTGTGCACTACCAGCCGTCGTACTACCATTTCCATATCCACGTGGTCAACATCAACCACCCTGGGCTTGGAGCTGGGATCAATGCAGGAAAGGCCATTTTGCTTGATGATGTCATCGACAACGTGAGGATGGTGTATGATTACTATCAGAGACGCACCATGTACTACCAGCTTGGTGGGAACCACAAGCTATGGGAAAAGTTGGAGGAGCTGAAGGAGTTGTGCTGCTGAAACTTGCTCCTTTCATCGGATGAATCTACCAAGAAATAAAAGATGACGGTTGGATGTGATTCGATGCGGGGTTCTCGGTAGTTTAACTTCCATAGCTGACTGAGAGAGTTGACTGCCCAGCTGAAACTGCTGTTTTGTGACGTCCGCTGTTTTTCAAAAGTCTGGTCGTAGCTCTGAGAAATTGCAAAAGTACTTGAAGTGATGTTGATAATCAAGCCCCATGAGACCTGGCTCCAGCCTGGTTATCACATCCCAAGTGTCTACTAAGCTACCACTTCACCGGGATGGGGCCAAAGAACCTATGTAGGAGATCAGTGTGCTAGATGTGCTGCGGAATAGGAGCACCAGCGAATGTCTGGAGAAGATCAATCGACAACGAATTCCACTCAGGCCGAAACAAGTTGAGTGAATTGGTCAAACTGGTCCTTTAGTTCAATTGTTATAATGTCTTTTTGATGTGTTTTTTACTTTATGATTGGCGTTTCATGTATTCAAGACTTGAACATGAAACATAAAAGATACTAAGATATACATACCTATAAGAGAAAATCGCATTCGTAAGAATTAACAAAAGAAAGAGCAAATTGATTCTTGAAATATAAGAGGATTTCCTTTAAGAGGCTCTTGAGAACATTAGTAGCATCAAATATTGCCTTGAATTACTTGGGATCTGCCTTTTTTAAGCTCTCAGTAATGATGTAGGCATTCTCAATGGGAGGAAACACCGCTCAGTTGGTATTGATACCACCCAAGCTGAAATGTAGGCATGACCATGGTCTTGCTTAATTTACCAAGAATTCCAAATTTTGAAGCTTTCTAGAGCTGAAGAATTACAGCTTAACTACAATGTGGATTTCGAAAATTATGCGTAGAGCCTAGACAAAACAAATAATAATATCCACGGCCTTGTGACTATAAACTTTGGATGTCCCATGGTACCCTCATTCACGCTTCTATTTTGATCTTGCATATCTGATGCTGAAGGGCAAGCAACCCCTGACGCTTCTGATCATAGCTAATTTAAAGAACAGATCAAACATTTCCAAACCTATATCATAATGTTGTATCCAGCAACAAATCCAAGTTCAACAAATTATAGGATAAGCGATAAAATTCTTTTAGACTCATCCCTCTCTTATCTAATATATTATTGTTTCTGTATATTATAGCAATCAGAGGATATACAATTCCCAAGCGCGGGGCTTGAGATGTCATTCCGAGATACTCGAGTTGGAAGACTAGTAGAAATTTAAGTAAATTTACTTTAATATTACTATGGAGCATTAAATAAGTCATCCTCAAACAACCGTTTCTCTGGGTTTTCAAAACATGCGGAAAATTTCAGGTGTGGTACGCAAAAAAGACAAGTAAGTTATAGCATCTTTTGTGATCGTCAATATTCAAACGTCTTAAACGCGTTATCCATTGTGAATTATCGTATCTATCTTGTTGGCTGGTCATTCATACATGCTTACTAGATTTATCGCATTTAAAACTTGGAGATAGTTAAACAGAGGTGTATCAACATTTTGTTCGGAAAACACGAAACAATTATATTACTAAGATTTCAGCCCGCATTTACTTGAAGCTTCCCATAGAATAAAAAAAACTGTGAAGTCCCTACTTTAAGCATCACACTTCAAGTTTGTAGTCAGAAAGTGTCATCACGAATAGAGAAGGGTGAACCCATACCCCTTTTAATATTGTAAATTCACATTCATTTCATAAAGACATATAAACTGGTATAAAAAGCCAGTATCAAAAACAGTATTAGATGAAGAAAAAACCAATATGGTAAATTCTCGGTGCTTACCCACCAATGGCCGCCAAAACTGTTCCTACAATATCACGTATGAATCGATTAAGATGTAGATCTATGAAGAGGAGTTTCCCTGACCTCTGCGAGAGTGGCTTCGCCTTTAGAGAACGTGACCAATCACCATACTGGTAATTGGGTCATCTATCTCAACAGTTCCATTGCGTATTCCATGCAGGGTAGACTTCAACAAAAAGACAATAAATTGAAAGCAGGAGTAGACAGCTTTTCTACTATCTCGCATTCCAGTGTCAAAAATGCTCATGACATATATTTTCCTGTATGTAGCAAGGCATAATTTGTTTCATCGCGTGTAGTTCGAAGCTTCAGATGATATAGTAGTATATTCTTGTGGGCTCGAATATAACCATACCTTTCAACTTGTTCTGCAGTCAGAACACCAATTAAATATTAGCTAGATTCTGGCTCAGCCGTTTTTAAATGGTGGAGGAGAGAGCGGCGCAACACGAACATTTGAACGTAGCTCATGCCGAAGCACCACGGCTTAATTTCTAAATATTCCAGTATCCAGGAGCATTGTTTGATGCTTAATAATTTCAGTATATTCCCATTGTGTTAATTTGGATCTAGGAGGCAAAAAATGTCCTTGAGGGTCCTCACAACATAAGAAAAACTACGTGGCTTCGTATTCACTAGTAGCCATGATGAGCTTTGCTGCAGAGTTGACTATATATCTAGACGGACGCTTGATATATAAAGGGTCTGGAAAGTGTTATATATCGAAAAGTGAATCGCAATACATCGTCTTACAGTACTAGTGAATTAGCCACCGGGAAAACTGCACCGCGGGTATTGGATCGGAATATCCAGGAAAGCAAATCAACTCAAGCAGCTGATATCGACACTTCTGGGTCTTCTGCGTGGGTTCTGGGAGAGGGCACTGGCGTGTGATTACCCTTACAATGGCTAAGACAGAAGCGGTCTCTCTTGAGACAATCTACCCCGTTGAGCAACAATGAAGCCAGCAGATGAGCTCATGCTGGTCGGTCCACACATACACTTCTTAGTGGATATGGAAGTGCCAGATTGGTACGGCGCATGTCAATCGTATTTGGGACTTGCTGGGGTGTTTTTGAATCACTGTTTCCTCATGATCCCCACTAAGATGAACAAAAGAGTTCCAAAGACAAGCAGCGATGGACGTTACAGGAAGAATGCACCTTGATGCTTAAGTAATGTAACAATTCATGGGCTACAGGAAGAATGCACCATAATTAATAAACAATCCATGAAATTGTGAATCATGTTTGCGTCAGTATTGCGAGCGGTGGCTGGGGAGAGTGCAACGCTTAGGCTGGCAGCTTCGAGTGAGGCTTCATGCCAATGTTTATCATGCACGGTTTTCCTCTTTCGGGCCAGGGGCTACGGAAGAGACTCCGGCTTGTCAGACGACGTCAAGTGATTTGGTAACAGTGTACCATTGACGCTAGACCACGTGGCTACCTCAGAGCATATCAGCAATCTGATGACGAGCCGTGAGACTGAACAGCGTGGTATGTATCTGTTGCGTACTTCTGTCTCGTGACCAAAGACCGGGAACTCTCATTCCCTAATAGCAGTCTGTACATAGCGAGAGTGCTTGACGGGCCGAACGGCAGGACGCGCTGAATCAGGGAGCGCCATGGCACCCTGGGGTCAGAACAACGAAGATCACTGTGCCAGCTTCAGTCTGGAACGGCCGAAAGCTCGCGGCAGCCCGCCACACGTAGTCTAGGTGTATTCGTTGGGCAGGCAGAATGGCACGCGTGGCCAGCATCCGTGGCCAGCGGGCGCTAGTAGTTGAACTCCGAGGAGCGGGCCTTCTCGGTCATGCGGGCCATGCGCAACATCTTCTTGCGGGGATCCTCCTTCTTCTTGGCCGCCTCGCTGGTGTGGTTGCCCGTGGTGCGGCCGAGTTTCTTGGGCGTCTCGCGCAAGCCAAAGGCCTTGGCCAAGTGGCCCAAGTGCAACAGCTTGACGTTGAAGTACATGCGCTCCGACGACAAGTGCGTGGCATAGGCCCGCACGTGCGACACGAAGGCATTCAGCGCCTTGTCGAGCGAGGCCTTGTCCTCCAAGAGCCAGCGCTCCACGTCCAAATGCCAGGTGGTGGCGTGGATGTCCCACTTGCCCTCTTTGCTCTTGGGGTCCCTGCGGGCGTCTTTCTTGGGCGCGGCTTGTTCCAGGAAGCTCTTCTCCAAGATGCTCTCGTAGTTGACCACGCGCAAGTTGCTGGTCTTGGGGTGCACCACGCGGAGCTTGCCGTCCACGTAGCCCTCTTCTTCGCCGGGAAGCAAGAAGAGCGTGGCCTCGCCCTTGTTGCCCACGCGCGCGGACCGGCCGATCCGGTGCAAGTGGTCGTCGATGGTGAACGGCGGGTCGTACTCGATGACGTGCGCGATGTTGGGCAAGTCCAAGCCGCGCGAGGCGACGTCCGTGCAGAAGAGCACGAGGTGCTTGCCCTTGTTGGAGCCCTCGTTCAGCACGAACTGCTGCAACGTGGATGTTCTCTGCTGCTGCGACAAGGACCCGTGGAGCCGGAACACGACGGTGTTGCTGTCGACCTGGGGGGCCGTGCACGCGCAGAACTGGGGGGCGGCGTCGGCGTCACTGGAGTCCTTGTTTCTGTTGTGTTTGTCTCTGCCGTTGTCGCTGTGCTTGTCTCTGCCGTTGCCTCTCTTTTTGTCTCTCTGCTCGTCGTCCTTCTCGTCGTCCTTCGCGGTGCCAGCGTGGGCCCGGGCCTCCCTCTCACGGGCCTCGCTGGTCTTGCGCATGGTGGCAATGCCGCCACGCGTGAACGCCTCGTAGTGGAAGTTGACCGAGCACGAGAAAAACACCATGGTCCGCGCCACGGCGTCCGCGGGCGGCCTGGCGGCGGCCTTGAGCGCCGCGGCCAAGGTGACCAAGCGCAACTTGGGCGGCACCACCATGACCCGCTGCACGAGCTGGTCCGGCGCCGTGGCGTTGCTGTCCGCCACGCTCTCGCGGTCCACGGAGATCATCTGCGGGCTGCTCAACACGGTGCTGCCCAACTGCTTGACGTCCTCCGGCATGGTGGCCGAGCACAACACGTTGACCCTGCGCGAGGGCAACGCGGGCCAGCGGCGCAGGGAGTCCGTGAGCCGCGACAGGCGCAGCAACAAGTCCGTGATCTGGGTGATGGTCTCCTGGAAGCCGAGCTCCACGAGCCGGTCGCCCTCGTCGAGCACAAGCCAGCGCACCTGCGACACGTCGAGCGACGCCGTGTTCTGCAAGTGGTCCGCGAGCCGGCCGGGCGTGGCCACGAGCACGTTGACGCCCTTGCGGAGGCGTGCCTTCTCCGACTTCTTCTTCTCGCCGCCCACGACGATGCCCGGCACGATCTGGTGGTGGCACCGGAGCACGGCCTCCAACACCGAGTGGATCTGCAAGGCCAACTCGCGCGTGGGCGTCAAGATCAACGCGAACAACCCGCTCAGCCGCGCGATCGCGTCCTGCTCGCGCATCAACGTGTCCAAGATGGGGAGCGCAAACGCAAGCGTCTTGCCGGACCCGGTCTGCGCCTTGACAAAGAGGTCTGTCTCGGCGCGGAGGAGCTGCGGCGCCACGGCCCGCTGCACCTTGGTGGGCGCGGCGTACTTCATGCCCGTGGCCAAGTGGCGCGCCAACTTGCCCGAGAGCCCCAAGCCCTCGAACGTGCTGTCGTCGGTGAGCGGTGCGTTGGACGGTTTGTGCGTGGTGGCGTCCGGCGCGGACTCCTTCAACGTGGCGCTGTTTTTCGCCGTGAACAACGACGACACGTACGAGTTGTGTTTGCCGCCCTTGTTGCCGGCCGTCTCCATGAACTTGACTCTTTTGGACGGGATGCCCGGGTGGTTGTGCTCGGGGCTTCTGGCCAAGCCCGGGCCTGGCGACGGGCGCTTTTTGGGCGGCACGGGGTCCGTGATCATGGCCTCGGCCTGCACCTGCAAGTGGCGCAAGTGGCCGGCCATTTCGACGCCGTTGGCCCCGGACGCTTTTTTCAACTCGCGGCCTTGCAGCTGGAGCCTCAAGTTTCTGCGTTCTTTCCACCGGCCGCCGGAGTAGCTGACGGGGTTGTGGGGCGCGGGCGCGGCGGTCGTGTCGGGCACGGCGAAGTTGAGAATCAAGCCGTCGTCGTCCATGTTGGGGTGTTTGGGGGTGTTTTGGGGGTGTTTGGGGTGTTTGGGGCCTGTTTTTGGAGGGCCTTGGCTGGTTCTGTGTGGAGAATTGGCGACGCCGCGATGGGCCCGATGCGATGCCAGCGCCGTCCTGCAGGAAACACGTCGCCGGAGGGGCGGGCTTCTGCCGGCTGGATGTGGGTGGTTTTTCGGCGGGGCGGGCCTTTTGCAGTGGCGATGCTGTTGGGCGTGCTGGCCGGGCTGCCGCTGCTGGGTTTGGCTGTTTCTTCGGGTGTTTTCGAATTTTGACTTGCTTGTTTGCGCAAGTGGAATTTCGCCAGGCCGCGCACGGTTTCTGGAAATAGTGCGGGCCCGGCCAGATTCGAGAGCAGAGGTATATGATGGAATGGCGGGAGACCGAGTACTTCTGTGTTTTGGGCCTAGGTACCTGGTGTTGTCCACAGGGCGCCATGGAGAAGGTGGTGGTTATGTGTCTTTATTAGGTGTGTTTATTAGGTGTGTTTATTAGGTGATATTGACTAGGTACTAAATAAGTGGGGTTGGCGATATTTGATAGGTATTTTGGTGATATTTGCTAGGTGCTATTGAGTGGGTCTTATTGATTAGGTGTTGTTAACTAGGTCGTTTTTATTAGGTGCTATTTATTAGGTGTTTTTACTAGCTGTTATTCACTAGGTGGTATTTACTAGCTGTCATGAATTCGGTAACATTTGGGGGGTGATATTTAGTAGGTTAGTAGGTAGGTGATCTTTTGGTGATATTCACTAGACGTTACTCACTGGTTCATTGGGTGTTATGCACTAGGTGTTTTATTAGGTGACATCTATTGGGTGATATTTATCAGGTGATATTAAGTGATATTTCCTGGGTGTTATTAACTAGGTGATGCTTGCTAGGTGATATTAAAGGATATTTTCTAGGTGTTATTAACTCGGTATTATGTATCAGGTGGTGTTTATTAGGTGGTTATTAGGTGTTATTTGCTAGGTGTGACTGAGTAGGTGCTAGTCACTAGGTGATATATACTAGGTGCTATTCACTAGTTAACTGGTGCCTTTAACCAAGTGCTCTAAACTAGGTGCTGTTCACTAGGTATTATTCACCGGGCGTTGTTCATTAGGTGATACCAGCCAGGTGGTATTTACTAGGTGTTATTGTGGTGTTATTGTGGTGTTATTGTGGTGTTATTGTGGTGTTATTGTGGTGTTATTGTGGTGTTATTGTGGTGTTATTGTGGTGTTATTCACTAGGTGTTATTACTAGGTGTCATTACTGGGTGTAGCTGACTACGTAATATCAACTAGGTGGTATTAACTAGGTGGTATTAACTAGGTGTTTTAAATGATATTCGCTAGGTGTTATTAGCTCGGTATTGTTTATTAGCTGGTGTTTACTAGGTGGTTATTAGGTGTTATTTGCTAGGTGGTATTGACTAGGTGGTATTTACTAGGTGATATTTACTAGGTGTTATTTGCTAGGTGTTACTAACTAGGTGATATTTGCTAGGTGTGACTGAGTAGGTGCTATAAACTAGGTGATATTTACTAGGTGCTATTAACTAGTTCATTAGGTGCTTTTAAATAGGTGGTATTCATAGGTATTAATAACTAGGTGTTATTGTGGTGTTATTCATAGGTGTTATTCATAGGTGTTATTCATAGGTGTTATTCACTAGGTCTTATTGTGGTGTTATTCGCTAGGTGTTTTTCATAGGTGTGATTAACTAAAAGTTATCTACTAGGAGTTATTAAGTAGGTATTATCTACTAGGAGTTATTCACTGGGTGTATTACACGGTGGGATCAACTCGGTGATACTTGCTAGGTTATATTCACTAGGTGTTATTTTAGTATCATATACTATAAAGAAAAAACCTATGATAGATCGCTCAGGTGAGAAGGCGCGAGCACCAATTCACGATTTCTCCCAACGATGTGTGACTTCTCCCCAAAAACGTCTGCCCATAACCAATGTCAACCACTTGAGTAGATCAACTAAGTTTCATCATCCCATTGGATCTGTTTTCCCGAGGGCCGTGACCATAGTGGTGCCATTACATTTCTGGGCCGTCCTGAGAAAATAAAGGGAGCTCAAAGTCTGATACAGTGTGGGATCAGGTTTTTATACATATTTTGTTGCAGAGTTTTGTCCTTTTATCACGTGATAGGTGCTATTACTAGGTGTTCTTAGGTGATATCAATCAGACGCCATTAGTCGACTCTCACTCAGCATGCACGGCGTATTTATTAGCCCGGCACCACATGATGGCGCTACTGAAAACTTTATTCGAAGATGCTTGCTGAATTCAGAAGGCCGCCTTCTCAGAACACGACAGTATCCACAACGGGTGCTTCGTTCTTTGTCTGCCCTTCATGAAGTCTGCCCTTCATGGAGTCCGCACCCTCCAAGAGCCCGTCCAGCAAAAAAGACGTTTCACTTTTCTTCACGTTTATGCGAGAACGACATGCAAGTTTCACTGGCTCTGGGGCAAATTCCACTTCTCTATACTGATGTGGAAGAACAATAGTGTTCCAGGCTCAGCTACCAAACCATGCTGCATCCTCTGGCATATGTTTCTAAGCTAGTGCGTTTTGCCTGTCTATCAAATACGCCTGCTCACACCTCTGTATTATAAAGCGTGCTGTATGAATGAGTGCAATGTAACGCCTCAGCGAGGAACAAAGGGATGCCAAGTTGGTTGCCAGCACTAACCACAGCAAGGTCTACATCCTGATGTGAGAAAGCATGGCAGCTGCTACCTGAATAATGATTATAGCTGCAAAAGCATCTATTGAAGCGCCAGATCATAAGCCGGTGGTTGAATTCGTGACCTAAGGAAGCGTCTTTCTATGGAGTGCCACAATTGAAGTGAAAGAGTTCTCCAAAAGGCAAGCGGCTTATTTGATGTGGAGTAATAAAAAGGACCATCGTTCTTTCTTGCTGAAATCAAGGACGATTATTGTGATCAATGGCGACGACCGGGAACAGCACATTAGTTAAAAAAGATCTAGCGTGTGATATCTGCGTGTTTATATCTAGCGCGGACTATACCCAGCGTGAAAGGCTGGACAATAGCCCGCATAGAAAAGTCCAATTACGTACACATAATATTTGTTGCTGGGTGTCACATATCCATGCTTCTTGCTGTTGCCGTGGCCATACGCAACACACCCTCCATCCAAGCTTCGTATCTCGTGATTTTCGAGCTAGATGGCTCCACTGATGATACAGATTTCTGCCTCTTCCTATGATACTTGTCTCCATCATTCACCATTGCACTGTTTTCCAGTGCCGCATTTGAAAACACCCCTAGTTACCGGACCTCAAGCTGGACCTCAAGCCCGAGCTGTCTTCAATGTTTCTAGACCGTGTGGATCAATACCAGATCCGCGATTCTGCTCCTGACCACCCGGCCAAGGAGAAACAGCCCCAAGGCTCCTCAAAGAAACTCGTCAAGTACTGTCGAGGCCTCCAATTTGTCGGCCTGCGGATTGCTTATTGCGCGTGTGATGTGTTCTGTGGAGCTGTCCTGCCCACCGAACCAGCTGAGACTCAGCCACTCCTCCTCATTGAAGCGTTTCACGTGACGCAAGCACGATCCCACGCCGCCATTGAGCTGGCCCTCGGCACTCGGATTACTTCCCGGCTTGGAGGCTGTCTGGAGAACTTGCACGGCGCTCAGTTTCTGCGGATCAGCCGCGGAGTTCTCCTGCCGCACCTGCTGGTACCGGGCGCTGTCCAAGTCGTCTATGTATTTGAACAGCGGCCGGAGCTGGGCCGTGGAATCGAGCGGAATCAACACGAATTTCTGCTCGCCGTCCTGGTCAATGATTCTGCCCGCATAGAGCCCGCCGTTCGTCTCGGTAAGAACGCCCTGGAGCGCCAGGTTTTCTACATGCCCTCCGAGCTCCAGCGCACGGCCCAAGTTATAGAATTTCTCGGTGTTCATCGGCGTTTGCAACTGCACCACTTTGGAGCCGGGCTTCACCAACGCCTTCAAGCCACCGGCAGCAAAGTTTTGCGCCTTCGGTCTCCCCGCAAACTGGAGAACATGGAGCGATTGCAGCTGTCTATTTGGGAGCGAGCCGTGGACCAATGGAATGCTACGAATGATGGGATCATCGTCGTCCTCAGGCTCAGGGCCCGTGGGCTGGGGTTGTGCCGGCTCCTGCTCGTGGTCTGACACAGGGGGCATTTCTTCATCTTCTGAAACAAAGAGATTGTTTTCGCTCATATTGTAGAGTTTCGTGTGCGTGGTATTTGCGGGCACAGTTGTACGCTTTTTCGTCACCAGTTGCGCATCTCATCTGATCGAATGTACATGGCGTTGCAGTCGCGAAACCCAGATGCGGCTTTTCAGAATTGCGCCAGAGACATGGTGATTCTGAACTAGAAATCACTCACGAAAGATGACGCTGGGCACAGCTAAGCACTGTGGCTTCCCTTAAGCTAAGTGTTATATGCTGGAGATAGTGGAGGAAATTGAAAAAAAAAAGACTGGAGAAGGTGACGCCTAGTTTGTAGATAAGCCAAAGTCTCGATGTTCGCCTCTTGCTTATGTGGTCTATAATTTTGCGAACAAGGCTGCCCATCTATCTTCTGTTGGTCACGGTAAGTGGAGAATTTATTAGAGAGATTGTTGGGACTACGGGGGCTGCCGAGATGCCCTCAGAAGATCGCTGTGAGATTTGCCAATGGTGCATTGTTTCCCAACTCCGGAGTTTTTGATTTCGGCGGGTTTAATGATTTCTGGACATAGAGAGAAATCAGATTAAGAGAATCTTATAAACACTCTCATCACTCGTTACAGGAAGACCCCTTTCAATGGTCTACGAAACAGTTCGTTTTTTTTTTTTTGTGTGATTTTTATTGGCCATATATATAAAAAAAGAACGGGAAAAGACCCGGGGCGAAAAGGAAGTCAAAACGGATAGAAGTCGAATTTTTAACTCACGGAACATTTGGTCGACCGCTAATGGTGATCAATCATCAGGGGCTAGTAATGCACCTGTCGCTTTCTACTTAGAAGAATGGTTGTCCAATTTTCAAAGCAACCCAGTGCCATGGGTCAGCAGAAGCCTCAGCATCTCTCTTGAAGAATGGCTGCCCAATCTTCAAAGCAACCCAGTGCCATGGGTCGGCACTTCTCTTGAAGAATGGTTGTCCAATCTTCAAGGCAACCCAATGCCAAGCATCAGCCTCAGCCTCAGCATCTCTCTTGAAGAAAGGTTGACCGATCTTCAAGGCAACCCAGTGCCATGGGTCGGCCTCAGCGTCTCTCTTGGAGAACTCTTCCTCAATAGAAGTCAAGTCTCTCTTGGCCTCGGCATTAGAAGCCTTCGCATCAGCCAAGATGGTGGCGTTCAAGAAAACAACAGTAGCAGTGTTGTTTTCGTAGTTGAAAACTGGGTAGACATCGTCTGGAATAGACAAGCCACCAAGAATGGCCTCACTTGGAACAAGAGTGCCATCAATGGTCAGGTCCGTCTCTGGAGTAGGAGCAGCAGTGACCAAGGCAGTCAATGCACCGAAAATCAAAGGAGTAGAGAATTTCATTTTTTGTAGAATGTTTGTTGTTTGATATTCTGTGCTGGAATAATGAAGAGAAAACTGGCTGATGAAGGAATTAACAGCTCTATTATATACTGATCTTCGGATGTGGCCTGAGTATCATGTTGCAAAAGATGGTCCTTTGAGTGACGGTTTGGGAAATAATAACTCTTAATTTTGCAGCATGGAAAGTAACAACGCACATAGAACGCACGCCCCACATCTCAAACAAAACAAGCGTTTAGAGATGCTGAGAAGTTCCCTTTGAATCCCGAATCGGGAAGAGCGCCCTTCCACACTGCTGCAATATCGAATCCTCGCACTTCATACACCCAATAGAGACATGAATGCCAGACCAGCTTGCTTTTGAAGGCGGCTTTGAACGGATGTCTCGAAACAGGAACTTGTTACAGAAAAAGCCTCAAAATGAGTAATTGTCAATCCGCCTTACTCGCTCATGTGACTGCTTCAGTCTTTGCTTAGTCCGGATACACTCAGTTTTCAGTGATGCGAGTTTCTGGACAAGAAGTTTTGGTCATTTATTGAAAGCCTTCACTGTTCATTTCTAAGAACATAAGACCCTACCAAAATATAATGAAAGGGTTTTAAATCAACCAAACTTTTGAAGCCAAAAAATATTAGTGCCACCAATTCATTCGCAAAATCAAAACATTAGAACGAATAGTCGGCGTCATACTGCGCGCATGTCTAGCAAAAGAAATGATTTCAGCCTCAAAATTCTTGGCCTTCGTCTGGTAATTTTCGAGCCGACCATTATTCGCCTTTTATTGTGGTGAGGTTTCTCTTGTCATTCATGTTTAAACTTTCAATATGAGAAATAATAGATCAGGAGATCATATTGAAATCTATTACAAGAGTATCAAGTGAGCCGAAGTTAAACCTGAAATACTCAACAGCACATCGTGCTGCCTTAATAAATCAAATTTGCCGCGACGGAATTAAAATAAGCGCATAAATCAATTAGAAGAGCACCACACAAAAACATAAAGGCACTTTTTTTCATAAAGCGCCCAAAGAAACCTTTTGACTGGAGCTTTTTAAATTCCTCGATTATTTATCATCAAGCTTCTGTTAATTTTGGTGGAGCCTGATGTATTACCGAGTAAAGTCGAAGGACTAAAAGTATCGAACAGTCAGTCGACAGCTTTTGAATGGCTCGAATAAATATAACTTCCGTCAAAAAAAGAAAACTTGAACAGCAAGCAACACTTTGGAAGAAAATGGTTCAACATATCACGAGAAGTATTCGCCGTGAAATCAACTATTAGAGACAAAATTGTGGATATCATTATGCATATGAGTCATGGTCCATGAGAAAGTGATATACAATAGTGAATTTAGACACCACTAATAGGTGTTTAGCACTCTTAAGTTGCTCAGCCACCAGAAGCTAAAAGTCTACGCAGTTTCGGATCAGGAGACCAGGTGTCAGTGCCGAGTGCCAAGTTCCAAAATTCTGTCTGAGTATACTCCCAAAGATTTGCTGGATTAAAATGGGAAAGATCGCTTCCGTTGACTTGAATGTCAACTCTTCTCTGGCCAAATGTGATTCTCGAAGAATCTTGACCATACTTCATCCAGTAGATGAATCAAAGATGTATTATCGATCTCCGAGCCTGTTAAACATGCCATATCATTTGGAAAAAAAAATATTAATTAGAAATCCGTGAGCACTTTCCTGAAATTCATGAATGCCTGAAACCCAATCTCCCGCTTCTAGAGTTTGGAGACCTTACACTGATTTCATAAATGCGGCGATTCTCATCACAGGAGATTGCATACAGAAATAAGGGGCATTGTATTTAAATCAGTGTTTGTCTTCCAAAAAATGTATATGATTCATGATCAATAAATGCATGGTTGTGTTCATTTCCTACCAACAATTCTTGCATATTTGACGCTTTTCAAAAGTACCATAGTTTTGTCTTCTTGATCTTCGAAAAATTTCGTGAGCTTTGTAGGTGTTATTGGAAATTTATATTTTGATAGCTTGCTTAAGAGCGAAAAGACGCATATTCGTTCCAAAGAAACATCATATTATAGGATATTGCAGTATTTCATTTCTGCTCATTGATATTTAGCATACCTCAATATGCCCCAACGGATACATTTGAACCCACATTTTTTTGGATTCATCTGATAATAAGAACAAAACTATGAGGGACTATGAGCCATCTTTAATCATCTTTCAAAATAAGTGCGCATCATCGAAATGCAGCCCATCCCCTTCCGCTAATCACGGCCTGGACGGTCCTCTCTACGTATTGGATATAATCGGTATTTAGGTTAAGCATCCTGTGGTAGTTGCTTCAACTTAGAAGACTGGAGAGGACTCAAGAGCTTACTTTCTGTGACTCGCCACGTCTTCGAGTGTATACCTTGAAATTTGTGGCGACGAACCAATTAAATTTTGTTAAGTTCTCCAATTGCCTGCCGGAGCCAATGTTTCGTGTAAACTCGAAAAAGCCCCTCGAATACAGTTTCGTTTTACTTAGATTCATATAGTCTATGTATGCAGTACTCTATAAACTTTTTTAATACTCGAAATGATGTATAGAACACGAGAATTATGCGGCTGTAGGCGGAACAGTAGCAAATGGGCACTCTTGGAACTATAAGCTTGACTCTGAATGAAAGCCCATGCACCTGAAGAACACAGTGACGGACGCAAGGTGTAACTGTTTTCCCGGGAGGTCACATTAGGCTTAATGTGGCATGGACGGGTCGATCCGAGAAACGAAATACGACTTCTCTCCGTCAACCACAAAGGAAGTCAGACTGTGCAAGGAGCAGGGTCCTTTGTGAGCATACGACAGCTGGCGCGATGCCAGGAAAAGGCCATTAAGCTATATTGAAATCAAAAACATGAGTATGATTGGCCTAAAAATGCAAATAAAGCCACGTTCTGTTGAGCTCTGTAAGTTTAGTAAATAATACTAACATACTCGGGCAAACAAACATCAAATCCGGTGTAGTGTAACGGCTATCACGGTTCGCTTTCACCGAGCAAACCCGGGTTCGACTCCCGGCACCGGAGAACTTGTTTATTTTTTTATGAATTTTTGATCATAACTGGGACGTTCATCGGTAGCTTATCAAGACTAGCTTGTGTATCCCTCGCGCAATTTAAGTTTCGAGTACGTGAGGTTCTGTTCGCGCCGAGTTTATCTTTTCTTATCGGATTCAAGACGCGATCCATATAATCACCCACCACATATTCCAAAACCACAACAAAACATTATACATGGGCGGCCGCGAGCTTCCAGGGAAAAGCAGACTCAGCCTTCACTTCCATCCAAGTAGGAGATATATTTTTCTGAGTATATAAATAACTGTTGCGCACACAGGCAGACGAATTGAAACATGCCCTTCGTTCTTCTTCCATAGTAGCAACATTGTAGAGCGAGAGGCGTCCGGGATAGGATAGGGGACATAGTAGCGGAGGTTAAATAAGAGAAAAGCCAACAAAAGGCGCAAGGCCCGGGGCATGGGCCGATCTCAGACCGTCCATCCATCCGGTGCCCAGGCACCCATCGTGCCAGACGTAGAACAAAGGCAGCTGATCAGAGGACCTTCCGCTTGGGGTTTCGGTCGCTCTGCTTGTACACCTTGTTCTTCAAAAAGTAGTTGTTGGTCTTGAATTTCTCGTGGATGGAGTCGTCGTCCATTTCGGGCAGATCCGCGGCGGCCGGGCCAGGCCGGCCAGCCCGGCCCACGATTCCACTGGGCCTTGCCGTCTTGGCCGGGCCACCCGGGAGGTCTGTTTCTTGTTCTTCGATAAGGCCGCGGCTTCTGCATACGAGAGCTTCTGGCACGCCACGTCCACGAAATCCGCGTACGTGTCTTCCATAGACACTTTGTAGGTGTGACTATCGTTGCCGCCAGAAAGGGTGAACGACTTGGGCACGTCGGCCAGGGGGAGCGGCAGGCTCGATTTCTTGAACCAGGGAAGGGCAAAGTTTCTGAACATGGGGGCGTGTTTCTGGGCGCTGCAAGTGATTGCTGGGGGGACCAAAAAAGTTTTTTTTTTTTGTGTTTTGTGTGGAGTTTCGGGTGGGATTTTGCTGCGGTGTTTTGTAGAGCAGTGTTTTGTGGAGCGGTGTTTTGTGGAGCGGTGTTTTGGGTGCGGTGTTTTGGGTGCGGTGTTTTGGCCAGTGGTTATCTATGTGCGTAGATAGGCGAGGTCAGCAGGCGACGCGAGACTCAGACCAGGGAAGAGGGAGAACGAAAAGAGAGGCGAGTCGCGTTAGGCTTTCCTGTTTCCGGGCAGATTGTTTCCGAAGATGCTGTTTCTGTTTTTAGGCGGTGTTGTGTTGTCTTGGTGTGGTGGTTGCCTTGCGACCAAGAGGAATTGATGGGAAATAGTTGGGCAAGCCGGCAACGTGGCACGCCTTTGTTTATATAGTAATAGTTTGTTATTGGGGCCGTGCGCAATATGGAGTCACCCACGCAGGATTCAAGAGCGCCGGGCGCTAGCCGGTCGTGCCGCGCCTGCAGATAAGCGAGGATGATCCGACGGCCCGGCGCTTGAAACAGAGCAGGGTGGTGGGAGACCCGATGTATGTTGGGGCCAGAGACACTTTTTTGTCAGAGCCGCTCTTTGTTTCAGCGCCAATGTTATGAGTTGGGTGGATGGAAACACACGGTCACGTGGCCGTGGGTGGGGTAGATAAGATGGCGGGATAAGAACGCGGCGGGCCAACAATGCAGCGGCGGACGCGGGGGTCACTCCACGTGACCGGCGTTCTGCGCATAGCTGTGCCGAGGGCCGCCCGGCTCGGATCGGTCTAGACGGTCCTGAAGCTGTCTTGCAGAAGTCTGCCGTGGTCGCACAATAGGGAATACAGGCTAATCTTATCCTTGTTTAGAGTCTCAAGTTATTCATTATTAGGTTCTATACGTTCAACTGCTCAATTATTCACATGTTTTTGCTGAAACTACTGTGTTATATTTACATGTTTTAGATATATTATGATTATTTATATATATCATAGATTTATATTGTCATGCCTTTTTTAAAGCTTTATTATTTATGGCAGCTGGATCTATAATACATTCATTAATATCAGAAACACAAGATATGCGTAAGTTTGGAGTTTACCATTTAGTTATGGTCAATACAATAAGGTCAATGCAATAAGGTCAATGCAATAAGGTCAATACAAGAAGGTCATATAATAAGGTCATATAATAAGGTCAATATAATAAGGTCATATAATAAGGTCATATAATAAGGTCATATAATAAAGTCAATAAGGTCAATATAATAAGGTCAATAAGGTCAATACAATAAGGTCAATACAATAAGGTCAATATAATAAGGTCATATAATAAGGTCATACAATAAGGTCAATACAATAAGGTCAATATAATAAGGTCATATAATAAGGTCATATAATAAGGTCATATAATAAGGTCAAAAGAACAGGTCAATAAATACAAGGAAAAAAAAGACAAGTTCAGTAAGAACCACTTCAATTAAGACAAGGTAAATAAAGACAAGATTAATAAAGACAGATTAAGACAGACAAGATCAATAAGACCACATTAAAGAAGACAAGATTAACAATGACCAGATTAATAAAGACAGGGCCAAGAAAGACAGTTGAACAGAAGATTAGCTGAACAAAGACTAGTTTAACTAAGACAAGATAACCATAGACGAAATAAATAAAGACAGTTCAACGAAAGCCTAGCTAAATAAAGACTGGTTTTTCTGAGACAAGATAAATATAGACAAGATCAATATAGACAAGGTGAATGAGTGTAAGTTCAACCCAGACCAAATTAATAAAGACAGGGCCAAAAAAGGAGGGGTCAATGAAGACCGTCTTGATGAAGACTAGCTTGATACAGACTACTTTAATCAAAACAAGCCTAATAAAGGCCAGCTCAATCAGGACCATCTTGAGTTAATAGACACCCGCGCTAGGACAAGCTTAATAAGACAATCCTCATAAAGACACGCTTGATGAGGCAAGCTCCCATAGGACAAGCTTCAAAAACATAATCTGAATAAGAACAAGCTCAAAATAAGACGCCCAAAAAAAGGCAAACTCGAAATCAACCAAAAAAAGGATAGATGATGATAGACAGAATCAGACAAGTAAAACCAGAATCCAGCGCACCCGGCCGGGCCGCGCACGACCCGTCGCGGCCCAACCCAAGACTCGCAACCTCAACTGTATCTGCGCATCCAACCACAACATCATGGATGGCTGGGGAGAAGTATGTCAAACAATCGCCGAATTTGCAGCCAATGAACGGAACTGCCGCCCAGTAAAAACCCGCCCGTTTGGGAGGCGTCGTCACGTGCCCGGAACCCCGATTCTGAAAGGGCCGGGCCCGGCGCTTAGCGCCCCATAGACACGCTCAGAATACCCGCCCTGGGCTCCACAAACACCTCCAAAATCCGGCGCCAGCCCCGAAAATGCCGCCGATTTTTTTGCCAGCGCCCTGCGCCGATAGCTTGTCCGCAAAAAAAAAAAAAATAAAAAAAAATCTCCTCTGTTTTACTAACGCGCAGGTTTCTCGCATCCCAGCTACGGCCCGCTCTGCACCGGCCCCCCGGGGCCCCGAGGCGCCGCCTATCACGGCGCTTCTGTTCGACAGCACGGCCAACTTGCTCTGGTGCGGCGACGCGCAGGGCCACACGGCGCTGTTCACGCCGCTGCTGCAGGAAAACACGCCGTACCGCCACATGGCCTTGTACAGATACACCAAGTTCCGGCTGCTGGGCGCCGCGAGCCCCGTGGTCCAGCTCTTGAACCACCAGCGGGGCATCCTCTCGCTCCTGCACGGCGCGGTGGGCTTCAGCCTGCGCCGGGGCGTGCCGAACGTGGCATTGACCGCGGCCCTGTGGCCGGCCGCGGACCGGGCGGCGTGGGCCGGTCTCCGCAGCATGGCGCTCGCGTACCTGACGTCCCACGACCTTGTGGTGGGCGGCGCGGCCGCGCTCTTCAAGGTGGACTTGGCGCGGCCGACACAGCCCACGCGGTTCGCGCATGACGGCGACGTGGCGCTCGTCAACTACTCGTCCAAGCTCCTCACGTTGGGCCGGCTGGGCGGCGCGCTCGAGGTGTTTGACCCGGCTGCCAACAAGTCCGTCAAGACGTTTGCGGGCCACAACGGCATGCTCTCGGACTTGGACGTCAAGGGCAACTACGTGGCCACGTGCGGCTACTCGGCCCGCATGCCGCGCTACGGCCTGGCCTCCGCCGCGGTGGAGTACATGGTGGACCCGCTCGTCAACATCTACGACTTGCGCACCATGCGCGCGCTCTCGCCGCTCCCGTTCTCGGCGGGCGCCAGCTTCGTGCGCTTCCACCCGAAGTTGCCCAACATCGTGGTCATCGCGTCCGCGAACGGCCAGATCCAGTTCGTCGACATCCACGACCAGCTGGTCGTGCACCTCTACCAGGCCGACCTCACCGACGCGGCCGCTGCCGCGGGCCTGCTTGCCGCAGCCACCAGCTCCTACCTCGCCCACTTGAACATCAGCGAGAACGGCGAGTTCCTCTGCTTTGCCGACGGCTACAAGAACTTGCACTTGTGGTCCATGAGCTCATCCACCAGCCAGAACTTCCTCAACTTCCCTGCCACGCTCGACCAGCCCGCCATTCCTGACAACATCGTCGCCGCGCTGGACCACGTGGCCTTGGACGACGTTGTGCCCCTCAACTCTGTAGGAATGCCCTACTACAAGGAGTATTTGGCCTCCAACTTCCCGTCGGATTTGGTTTTCATCAAGGAATCCGCCAGAATCCCAAAGCAGGTCACGGATGCCTGCTTGCGCCCGAAGACAGCCCCCAAGTCGGCTCCCACTAGATACCACTACGACAAGGCCAAGTACGGTGCACGTCATGTGACACCCCTGTATGTTTCGTTGAAACATGCGCACGGCAAGACGGGCGCTCCTTCGACAAAGATAAGCTCCATCCCCAAGTTCATCAGCGAAAGAAGCATGACGTCCTCCCCTGTTGCTGGTGGCAGAGCTTTCGAATCAGAGTCACCGTCATTGCCTGCATTTGCCACATTCCACGACTTCAACGATATCGATTCGGATGGTGCCTCCAAGTTCAATGCCAAGACAGACGCACCCGGTGAACAAACCGACTCGACGTTTCAGTATAAGCCTGACCCGAGTACTCCAGTTCCTCCGTGTTATGGCAAGCTTGATATCCACTACTCTCGATTTGGGGTCGATGACTTTGATTTCGATTACTACAATCGCTCCAATGGACAGTTCGCAGGACTTGAAAACCATCTAGACAACTCTTACACAAACTCCTTGCTTCAGATATACCGCCATATCCCAATTTTCTACAATGCAGTCACCAAGAGCTTGATGTCCGAATATCTTCCCAATGACAAGAAGACAATACATGATAGAGGCAACCCTCTGGGTACATCTGTCTTAAACGAGCTTGGGTATCTTTTCGACATGATGCACAAGGCAGGGGCCAGAAATGTCAACATATCCAACTTCTCCCTCATTCTAAACGAAAGTGACATTGCTAAAAACTACGGCCTATTGAACACAGACGATGGGAAGTCCCTTGATTCCAGAGAGCTTCAGGAATTGGTGGTGACTTTCAACAAGTTTTTGATCGAGTCTATTGTAAGCGACTTCAGGTCTCAATTTAGTATCGATGTTCAAGACTTGAGTGCGACGCACTACGAACTAGAGTTCTTTGCCCCTTCTGGTGAACTACTAGACAAGCAATACGGCAGCCAAGTCACTCTCGACTTATGCTCACCACCCTCACACTACCTCAACAGAGGTGGCTTTGGAAACCGCTATACTTCACAGCATTTGACGAAGAAAAACAGCACAATCTTAAACTATCTCGATTACTCCCTTAATCAGCATCGCTTGATTCCGGCATCCATGAACACACCTTATGAAGTTGAGGCACGACAACTCTTTATAGACCTCGGACCTGTCCTCCTGATTAATCTTCCCCTTAGCGATCAGGAGTTTGACCAAATCAGGAGTTTCAAGAAGTGGCTTGTACCTGAGTTCTACACGGTGAATAGCGCAAACAAGAAATTGACTTTCAAGCCAGTCATTGCCCAGATGAACCAACGAGCAAACAAGTACGAGCTTCAGGGCTACGTCTGTGAAATCAGCCATGGCCTGGCATCGTGCAAAGGTCAACACAACCTTGTTTCATATGTCAAGATAAGATCAGTTTCGCTGGGCAAAGATCAGTGGTTTTTATTCAACGACTTTTTGGTGATGCCTATTCCAGAGGACGAGGTCTTCAATCTATCTTATCTGTGGAAAAAGCCAGTCGTTGTTGTCTACAGCAATTCTGAAGACCATAGAAACCAGAAATTCTCCTATTTCGAGTGCGAGATGTTCAGAAAACTTTCATCCCTCAACGACGGAATTTTGTACAGAGACCACTTTGCATACGGTACAAGACAAGGCTATAAGAAAGAATATGAACTCTTGACTCGTCAAGAGGCTCCTGCTCTCGGGTCTCTTATCGCAATCGATGCAGAGTTTGTCTCGTTGAGGCCAGAGGTAGCGGAAGTCAGTTACACCGGGAGTCGAAACTTGGTAAGACCAACGCTACTTTCGCTCGCCAGGATATCTGTTTTGCGAGGTGATCCTGGACCAAAACATGGGGTCCCATTCATAGATGATTATATCATGCATTGCAAGCCCATATATGACAACTTGACGAACTTCTCCGGCATCGAAGAGGGAGACTTGGATCCCACGAAATCACACAAGACGCTTGTTACGCTTCAAACGGCGTACAGAAGACTTTGGCTTCTCATGAATCTAGGGTGCGTTTTTGTTGGACACGGGCTCAAAAGTGACTTTAGATGCATCAATCTTCAGGTCCCCAGGTCGCAGATCCGAGACACGATTGAATTCTACCATCTTCCTGACTTTAGAAGAAAGCTCAGCTTGAAGTTTCTAGCCTACAGTGTTTTGAAAGAGTCAGTGCAGACGAGAAACCACGACTCGATTGAGGATGCTCGTACAGCGCTTCTTCTATTTGAGCGGTACATGGAGCTCAGGGCGTCGGGAGAGTTTGAGCAGGCTTTGCGGCGTATTTACAGCGAGGGCCAGCAACTCCGGTTCCGAGTGCCTGAGTAGCGGGGCTGGAACCCATGAAACACTTCGATGAAATGACGCTAATAAATTGACGTTGCCCAAATGGCACTGACAAACGCTAGATGTAACTACCCGCTTGACACAATGACACCAAGACAATGACGCCAAGAAAATTTTGCTAAGACAATGGTGCCGAAACGAGGATGCTAAAACGAGGATGCCAAAACAAGGACGCTAGTAGAATGACGCTAACGATGCGACGCGTTGTAACGCGACCGGCGTGGTGCACGCTGGCGGTCTCAGACTCGGACTTGGAGGACACCGAAAGACCCGTACCCCCGACGCCCTCGTGGCCGCCCCGCAAAGCTCGCGAGCTGTCTCATGCTCAGCTGAGCATCAAGCGAGCAGTCATAGCAGGCACGTTTTCACAGACAACTCCAGGCGGCTAAAACACCACGCCGCAAACCAAAAATCAATCGGCGCCACAATAGCTATAACTGCCGAGAACACAAGTGGAACATAGAAAAGGGGAAGTGCAAGAGAACTAATTTTAAAACGCTTGCCCGGTACCGCTCTCTCGGACAAACGCATACGCCCCAACTTGCGCACACCAAAACATGTCTGGGTCCCCAAGAGAGCACTTGCTGCATAGCACAGGCAACAGCAATGGTGCTGTTTTCGAAAAGCCAGCAAAAACACCCGCTGATTACGTCTCGTACAAGGCCCACGAGACCACCGATGCCCGCATCGCCAGAGGGCAACAGGAGTCCGGAAACAGCCCTCCGAAACCGCGCCAAACAGAGCAACAAAGTCGCCCAGGGTCTCGGCAGAGCCAGGCGGAACAGATCGGTCCCGATGGCAGCTCCAGAAGCTCCCATTTGACCGAGCCAGAGCAGGCGCAGGACCGCCCATTGAGCCGGAACCAGGGCGGCAAGAACAGTGCCTTGGGCCGCAAGCCACACCCGCGGAAACCGACCCACGCCCGGTCCCAGTCACACACCAAGCCCCACACGCGGCTTTTGCTGCCGGCGGGGTCCAGCAAGCCGCCGTTGAGCCGGTCCAAGTCGACGGACGGGATCATCCCCAAAACACGCCCGGGTGTCAAGCGGAACCCGCGGTCACACACGAAATTGACCACGTTGCAAACACCCACGAAGGCCGCGCTGAACGGCTCGCTCAACCGCGCGTTGGGCGCGCTCCAGCCGCTCACAAAAACGGTCCTGAGGGACTCGTCCAAGCTGTACGGGCTCCGCAAAACCGTGCTGAACGGCTCGGGCAGGTGCACGCCACAGGCAGTGGTGAAGAGCGGGCTGAGCCAGTCGATCAAGTCAAACAAGTCCGCGTGCTCGTTGAAAAGCATGAACACGGCGGTGCGCACCACCAACCGCTCCAACACTTCGTTGAAGGCGCTCCCGGGCATCGGCTCTGCCGGGCCCACGGGGCTCAAGATCAGCTCCAAGCGTGGCAAGACCATCTTGAAGTTGAACGAGGACGATATGTACGACGACTATGAGGATATGAGCGGGTCTTCGGGAAACGAGGACAGCGCCGGCCACGCGCCACAAGTCCCGCATCCCGAGGAGCTGTACGCAGCAGACACCTCGGCCGGTGAGCAGCTCGGGGACCGTGCGGAAGCGTACGTCCTGAACGAGCCGGAAAACCCCCAGGACCACCTGGGCCAGCTGGACCAGCCCAGCCCAGCGGATATGGAGGTGCTCCGATCCCCAGAAAGTGCCGTGCGCGAGCCGCAAGCAGCCCTGCTGACGATGGCAGAGCCCGAGCCGGCGAGCACCACGCCAGGCGCCCAGGATCCCAGGCAAACCGGCGAGGGAATGGACGTCCATCCAGGGCTCAAGCGGAACTTGTACGGCGGCTCGTTCCTCCTCTCGCAATCGACCGGAATGACCCGCAAAATCGAGCCCTCCAGCGAGATGCTCCGGTTTGCGGCATCCGAACAGGGAGCCATAGGCGACAACGCGGCTGGGCCCGGGGTGGAGAAAACAAGCGGCATCATATTCAAGCCGCGGGCCGACGACGACTCGCGCTCGGAGTCCGGGCCCACGGTCACCAAGGCCACCGCCACCCACGGGTCGTATCAGCCAAGCCAGACGATCTTCAGCAATCTCCAGCGCAACGACTCCAAGTACCTCTCGAACATCAAACTGCAGCGACAGCAGGGTGGTGCAACCAACACATCTGCGCTGACGCTGGAGCCGAAGAAAGACTTCTCGAGCTTCCTCAACAACCAGCCGGGCGCAAACGGCCACAACATCGAGACTCGGACGCAACAGCGGCTTTGGCTCCAGCGAGAAAACTCCTTTTTGGACGTCAGCACGAACATGGATGCGAACCACGTGAGCAACTTCTCCAACTTGTCGTTGAACAAGCTCATGTTTGCACATAACTACAACAACAGCAACAGCGTTGCGAGCTCAAGGCACACCCCGGGCTCCATGGCCAACCGCATCCAGAGCCTTGAAGCAGGATCCACCAACGGCGACTCACTCTCTCCTACGCAGCACGACATGTCCGCGAACACGGCAAACATGTTGTATGTCATCCAAAGCGGACAGCAAAACTCTATCCAGTCGCGGACAGAGTTCGAACGGCTCAACCGCGAGTACGTAAATGTGCGCCGGCACTTGAACCCGGTGGCCGAGAGCTTAAACCGAGTGGAGAAGTATGGGCTAGACAAGAAAAGCTTGGAAATGCCCAAGAAAGCCGACAAGAAAAGCACGTACGCGACCAACACCAACGCAAACACCTTCAAAGAATTTGCGCCGTCATGGGAGAAAAACGAGGGCGACTCGATCTTGTTGCTCAACAAGCTCTGGCAGGACGCTTTGATCCTGTCCTCCTCATCCACCTTGTCCGCCAGGATTCTCCAGCAGGAGCAACAACGTCAACACCAGACGCAACAGCTACAAAGCGACATCCCCAATAGTCCCCATGATCTTGTGGGCACAAACCACATGAAGGAACAGCGCCGGAACCTAGGGAGCAATATGGCGCGAGCACCAGCGCCACGGGCAGTCCAGTTGGTCGCAGGACAGACAGGTCTGGACCTGGGGACCCGGCTCCGCTGATAGAACAAAAAGACAGGGGGAGATAATACTACGGCGAGATCTATTCTCGTGCGGTTTTGAGGCGCTTCATGGAACTAGTGTGTATTCTGAGGGACGGTTCAGTCCTGTGGTATATGTACATGGAAGCCAACCAACCGCGATGACTGAGCTTTAAATATGCATCCGTGGAGTGAATTCCGAGCGAGCAGACCCGGAATTCATGCAAAGTCCCCAATGAGGAGGCCTGGGAAAAACGGGTGTGACAGGAGCACAGCGCCGAGGAAGAACCAAGAAGCCCTCCCCAAATTTGATGGACGCGAGTTTTAACCTTGTCTTTGCTTGTGTTTGCCGTTGGACTTACAGTAAACGTACACCTTCCCCTTTCTCCTGACCATGTAGCAGTCTTTGCAAAACTTCTTCACCGAGGTCCTGACCTTGAACGTTCTGACCGACATCTGGAGCTGCGAGGACGAGGCAAAAATCGAGTTTTTGATGGCCATGGATGGCACGGCAGTAGAGCGGAGGCCCGAGAGGGCACGGGCGAACGGGGAAACCAAGCCAAACATGTCTTGTGGACTAGGACGAACTATTGAAGTGGAGACTAACAGGCAAAAAAAGGCTACTGAGTTTCGGCGGTGTATGCAGGCACTCGACACTAGTATCCTACAAGATATGGCTTTCGAACAGACAAGCTTCGAGGCAAGTGCATGAACTTATACAGCAGAAATAGTTGGCAACAGGCAATGGCTTAAATAGCACTGTACAGTAATTATGGAAGCTCGTGTTACGAATCCCACATCAACCCAATCACATGGGTGGAATTTCCTCCAGACTAGGCCAATGGGCCGGTGCAATCCAGGGCTACTTAACAAAACTGTCAAACGTATTAGCATTACTATATGAGAAATGATGAGATCCAGAAACGGAAGTTTAGTGTCTCTTAGACTCAGCAATGATCTTGTTCATCTCCTCAACCTTTCTCAAGGCTCTCTTGTGGGTACCCAATCTCTTCTTGGCCAACTTCTTGGCTCTCTTCTCGCTGGCGTTTCTGATCAACTCGATCAATCTTCTCTCGTATGGGGCCAAGCCGGAGACCTCAGAGACAATGCTTCTGACGAAAGCAGCTCTCTTGGACAAGACTCCCTTCTTGCGGGAAAGTCTTGGAACAACTTCCTTTTGGGTGGTTTTGTGACCCTTGTTCAAACCGACAGCAATACCTGGGAATGTTAGTAAGTGAATAGGGGAGACGTTGGGTGGAACAGGCATGTTTAAGGGCAAATATCTCAAGATTTGTCTTGTACGAGATTTTCTGCAAATGGCCCCATTGTAAGCATAGGGCAATTGAGTATCTATAGCCTCGCTTTCTTAGGTATGTCAAGTTGGAAGATTCTGCAGATTTTGGCCATTGTTTGATGGGCTTTTACCTGGCGATGCGAAAGAGGGAGGCACTCTGGTTTAAAATACGGGCAAAGATTCCAGCGATTCCCACGGCAAGGTGCTGGTTTTTCCTGCTACGTCCACAGAGTATACCACACACGAGTTCCACGTATTTGGCGTTAGGGGGCACATACCAGTTCTAGCCATTTTTGTCTATAGATAACAAGAAGAGGTGAGAAGATTAGTGTGGAAAATTTTTCTGTGGGACGGAGACGCTCGCCTGCAGAGGAGCAGGCGCACGACGTCACGTGCGCAGCCCAGTGCGTGGTGTACTGGTGTGCTGACACGGGCGGCCGGTTTGGGCCATCGCCGCTGGGGCCGCGCGCAGATCCCTGGGACTGCGCAGGGTGAAGGCAGCGGACGGGGTCACGTGACTCCGTGACTGTCTTTTGCGGCTACGATTGCCGTAACCCGGACCTGACAAGAAATGGACATATTAATTTCAGGGTGGAGATTTGGCTGATGCAGCTTTGGGGATTTTCACTGATCTCAGAGACAGCACCGGGCGACTGAAAATGGGTGTTTCACATCCACATTGGAGGTCACGCCGTTGACTACCGAGAGCTTATTAGGCCTATGCCGAGCACGTCTAATAAAGTACATTGGAGGAGACAGTTTGCGTTGCACATGTGAGAAATTAGATTTAAGTTTCTGTTAAATTTGAAGAGTCCAATGCGGCACAATTTCAAACACGTTGGGAGAGGCGGACCAGCCTGGCGTTGCTGGGGACATGTTTCTTGGAAGCGCATACTCCGTTGTCAATATTGCCGTTTCCACCATTTGAGATCTGGACTTTCGAGGGCTGTGATTGTCTCTGGGCCCATATTTTGAAGTTGTCGTGGAGACAAGTACGTTTCAATTCGCAGCCAAAGACCAGTCTGGTATTGCGTTGTCGCACACATAAGATACCCAAAACCCAAGAATGGGATTGAAGGTTCTGGTGGGCTGATGATACATGAATAACTTTATGATGAGAGTCTTTGGAATAATCAGGTCCCAAACTGTGGCTGCAGCGCCGACACTGGAGTCGGCACCAAAGGCGCAGTCTTGATCAAGGAAGGCCGGTGAAACAATTGCTACAGTTCCTGTCCACTAGATTGGACTTGCACAATTTTTTGAAAACTAGTACGGTGGACAGGACTTACAGATATTTCACAATTTTTAAACAGATTTTTTACAGATGAATGTATAGATGAGTTTACATACGGATATTCACGGGAATGGACTTACAGAACATGAGTTTACAAATGATGGATGCACAGAATGATGTACACCTGAATTTACAGATGGACTTAAGATGAGTTTGCAGATGGATTTACAGCTGAATTTACAGATGGACTTAAGATGAGTTTGCAGATGGATTTACAGCTGAATTCACAGATGGACTAAAAATGAGTTCGCAGATGGATGTACAGATGAATTTACAGATGGACTTAAGATGAGTTTGCAGATGGATTTACAGCTGAATTCACAGATGGACTAAAAATGAGTTCGCAGATGGATGTACAGATGAGTTCACATGTGTTGTACAGATGAATTGACGGGAATAACCTCCATAACATAGAATTCTAGGATATAGAATCCCGCGTCTGGTATCCACAGGAGGGAATAAAGGGATCTTTAAATTGGGTCTACAGGGCATCTTGCCATTGCATCATCCCTTGTGCCGTGCAAACGCATCCAGCAAGTCATGTTTGGTGCGTCCTGCGAATGCGTCACAAGGAATCAGTTCAGCTTATCATTTCCGGCGCATGTTTTCTATGTACAATTAGACGCTCACCTGGTTGAAGTCAAATTTGTAGTGCTCCAACTTGCTCACAACCTCCGCGATGGTCAAGTAGCCGTGGGTTCGGAGAAACTTCTCGTAGTCCATGGGCTCGTAGTTGTCGCGGTAGACGAACGGATACAAGTGCTTCAAGAGCTTGGTTTTGCCCACGGTGATCTTCCTGCCGGACTCCAGCACGTGATACACGGGTTTGGGGCTGCCGGCAGATCTCTCCTGGAGCTCCTTGGTCTTCATGATGTCGTACCTCAATCTCCAGCCCTTCAACCCCATGGTTTTCTCCCTGGCAGAGCTGTCCTTCAACAAGTAGTTGTCGATTCCACCCTCCTTCGTCACCGTGCGCAAAAGCCTTGTGGACACACGCGTCGAGATGCACTTGTTCAAAGTTTCGGACCAGAGCTTGGCCTTGACGATGTTGGGCAAATGCGCACGCAAATTCTTGTTCTTACTCTCGGAACATGTCTTGGATCTCTTGCGCTGCAAGCCGCCGTACAAGCCCCTGTTTTGCCTCTTGAAAAACATGGCCTCGTACTTGTAGTCCGGGTACAATTTGTTCTTTGTGGGGACGCCCTTGGAGGGGATCTTGTCCCCGGCTTTATAGACCGTGGTGTCAATGGGCCTCGCATACTTGGTGATCTTAAAGTACTTTTCCCTGAGGGTTGGGGCGCTGATGCCAAAGCATCTCATGCCGAACAGGCTGCTGGCCACAGGAGCCGCGGCCGTAAGCGACCGGAGAAAGTTCATGGGTGAAGTTGTGTGGGTTTGGAAGGAAGGCTGGGGCATGGTGATTTTTTTTCCATACCGGCCGGCGGTCACGTGACGCGGCCGCCGTGCTGGCGGGCCACGTCTGGCGGGCCGGAGGTGGGGATCCGAGCCCTCCAAGACCACTTCCTGGGGTCGATGAGAAAAGTTCGAAAATGGTGTTTTTTTCCTAGAATTTGCCAATTTTAGGTGTGGCCTGGAGCCGTCGAGGCAGCTACAGCCTATGGACAAGCAGAGTAGGAAGTCCACCAGAAGCATATCCATAATAGAAATCGGGCATTTAAAGAATCCGAAATTGCAGATGGGAACTAAACATTGCACCAACATACAACCAACAGAACAACAACGGAATCGGGTACAAATCCCGTCTTGATATACAAGGTGCCCTCGGCACCAGGGCATGCGGGCCATATCGCACTACTAATAATTATAGTAATTTTCTTTTCTTTCTCTCTTTCTCTCTGTCTTTCTTTCTTTCTTTTTTTTTTTCTTTCTTTCTTTATACGTATACAATTTATCCACTTCAATTCAAATAATAACAAGACTGTATCTATATATAACAAAAGTCTTCATTTACTGGTTGGAAACCGGATTGGAGTGAAACATTAGCCGGGCACTTGCGAATTTAGGCGGTGGAGGGAGATAAGGCCAGTGCGAGCGCGAAGAAGCAGTGCAGGGAACCCAAGTCTAATACGGGACAACGAGGCCAAACATTGAAGCATTTTTTCTTTTATCATTTTTTTTGGGTATTTTGAAATGGTCTCTTTGGAATAAGTTTCTTGAGAATATATCACGGAGTTTGGATTTTTGATTCGGGCAGCTCGACCATGAGTGAGGGTGGAAGTAGGAGGATTGGGAGCTCTGGATGGGCCAGCCGTAAAGTTGAGCGCCGCAGTACAGGCCCATCAATTAGCTGAGCAATGCTAATAAAAAAGGAGGAATATTAGTCTGAAACAAGACAGACTTTTATGTATTCAGAACACTATCGATAGATTAGTAAATTATATATATCCCAGAGATTGTTGGCAGCAGCTGCCAACAATCTCGGTCCACTCCATGGCTCTCACTTGCGGCAAATTTGACGCCTTTCACATTATGGCGCCAACGGAGCCAGAACTAACGTATCAAGTTTGCCTTTTCTTCAAGCCAGAGAAACAGCAACATAAATAGGTCGAGGCTGCAGATCCCGGTCGTTTTTTGGAATGATTGGGATTTGCTGGTGCGCCTCCGCATACACGGCCCCAACCGGGCAGTCTGCCTGTGGAACCTTATATGGCGGTATCTGCGAGCCAACAGAAAAGGCTTGAGGAGGTAGAATGGGTCGAGGAGATATAACAGGGCTGAAGTTCATAAACAGAGACTCGAATTATAGAAGGGACTTGGAATATATATGGAGGTGGCTGGAGGATAGAGGGGACTGGATCGAGGGGACTGGATTAGAAGGACTGGGTGCAATAAAGCGGCCGTTCTGTCCTAGAGTACCGGACGATATCAGGCCTTTATCATGAAAGAACGGTTGCATAACTCGAGGTTCCCGAAACAAAGATCGGAATTTGTTCACACAACTTTCTTTTTCTTTTCCAATCGCTCAATGTTTCATCTGATTCTTCATGCTCGATATTCGTTATGACAGTCTAGGATAACGCATACTTTCCTGAAAGGCGTAGTTCTTGTACTCGCAAATTGATGGAATATATTTTTCTATCTACCAAACGATGTCTCTATTGCCTCTGGCTGTATTAAAAGTCATCATAATAGTTTTAATTTTTCACATTTGGCCCTTCTGCATTATTGCCAGCAGTTTCTCACTTTGTTGAGAAATTCCTCACCGTAGCGAAGTACCAAATTTATAACTACCAAATATTATAATACAAACAAAAACCGAAGTTGAATGAAGGGCTCATTGGTGCAAGTATGGTGAGCCAAAATTGAGTAAAGGTGGATCCGAATCGCTCGATGGATTGTCAAAGTGTGTCTTTCAGCTGAACTGTGAAGCGTATTGTATATCCCGAGCCTTGTGGGTTCATGAGACATGGTCGGTCTTTCCGCGAGCTAAATACGACCATGACTACTATGTGCTATGATCCAATCTCTCTCTGCCCAAATGCTCAGTAGAAGTAGAGATTAACATTACCGTTCTGAGCTACCACGCTGACAAGGTGCCAGGAAAATTGCTATACACAAGATTGTCGGCATGCACAGAAAAGAAACCAGTGACCAAAGAAAAAGGGCGAAAGAAAAGAGATCAAGAAAAGAGATCAAGAAAAGAGATCAAGAAAAGAGATCAAAAAAAGAGATCAAAAAAAGAGATCAAAAAAAGAGATCAAGAAAAGAGATCAAGAAAAGAGATCAAGAGATTAAGAAATGGGCCCGGATGCGGGGCTCGCTTCTTGAACCGAACTCAGGTGAAGGAGAGAAACCGGGCAGAGAGAACGAGAGATCACGTGACTCGACATAGCTTCAAGGCGCACAGGAGAGGTGGTTTTTCAAAGGTCTGCTCCACTGGCCGTGGACGGTGCACTTGGGGCCTGGCGGAGGAATAGCACGGGCCGCGCTATGTGCAGGCCCTATAATTTGGCTGTCCATGCAATGCCATCACAGTTTCAGAAGGGGCGTTGAGTGCCGGCACGGCTTGGCCGGCAATATTGAAGCCAGGCACCAGTCTGGATTGTAGCGGTTTTAAGTATTGCCCAGCCCGCATCATGGGCAAGACGTGGGGGCCAGCCTTCGAACGCTCATACAGCACCAGTCCGCGCGAAGCACTAATAAAGGGCCAGCCAGGACTAATAAAGACCCGGGTAGCGCTAATAAAGACCCGGTTAGCGCTATTATAGGGCCCATTCGAGCACATAAAAGACCGGGCCAGCACGCATCCAGTACAAAGAGGCCCCCGGTTCAGTTTTGGTGAAGTATTAATGAAGTGCCAGGCTGCTACTAGCCAAGGGCCAAGTCAGCACCAAGCGCACCAGGTGCACCAGGTGCACCGATAAAACACCAACACAACACCAATAAAGCACCGACACAACACCAATAAAGTACCGACACAACACCGATAAAGCATCGAAAAGGCACTGACACAACACTGGCACAACACTGAGCAACCCCCACCCACCAGCTCAAATGCAAAAAGCCGCCGCAAATACAAAAAAAAATACCACGACGCGGCTCGTCTGCCTTATCGTCTGGCGCGCCGGGAGTTCCGCGCGGGGCCATGGGCACTCCTCGGGCCAGGCCGAAGCCAGGAAGGCGCCCAAACAGGCCGCCGGAAACAAGAGTTCCACAATAAAAAAACAAAAAAGAACAAGAATACAAAAAGCACCAGAGCCACCGCAAAAAAATAACAGCTGAGCCACGGTAAAAAAAACAGCGCCCCAGCTGCACCCCCCGAACCCATCCCCAGGCCTTGCCAGGCTTCGCACGCCCGGGTGGCCCTGCCCTTCCAGGACGCGAGCACCCGTTTGGCGGGCGAGCAGAGAAAAAAACGGCTCTGTGCAGGCGCGCCCGGTCCCATCTCGCGGCCCCGTCCATGGCCCCGTCCATGGCTCCGTATTCTCGCCCCAGCTGTATTCTCGGATCTTCCCGCTGGCACCCACAAGGACACGCCCGCCTAAACACAGCTGGTTCTGCCCATAGGAAGCGGCGACAAACCCCCCCAGCACCCCCGGACGCTTTTTTTGCCCGCCGAACGCGCCCCTTTGCCGGCCCCCCAGCATATAAAAAAAGACACGCCCGGCGCCCCGGCCCGCACAAGCACAACGCACAAAAGCGCCGCCAAAGCGACACCACCGGCGACACGGGAGCAGCAGGCACGTGACCCCGACCTGCCGTAGCCAGCCACCGCCGAGATCCCCGGCCCGCACAGCGCAGCGCAGGAAACTAGGTGCCGCAGAAGCACACCTAGTTCGGACAGCTTGGACAGCTCGGACAGTTTGGACAACTCGGACAGCACTGAAACAGGTTCGAAACAGGACGGAAGCGGCTCGGAACGACCAGCCCCAACCAGCCCAAAAACCCTCAGACCCAATCCGCCGAGTCTCGTTGAACCATCGAGTCTGGTTGAAACCGTCGAGTCTCATTGAACCGTCGAGTCTCATTGAACCATCGAGTCTCATTGAACCGTCGAGTCAAATTAAACCGTCGAGTCTAATTAAACCGTCGAGTCAAATTAAACCGTCGAGTCTGGTTGAAACCGTCGAGTCTCATTGAACCGTCGAGTCTCATTGAACCATCGAGTCAAATTAAACCGTCGAGTCAAATTAAACCGTCGAGTCTAATTAAACCGTCGAGTCAATTAAACCATCGAGTCAAATTAAACCGTCGAGTCAAATTAAACCGTCGAGTCAAATTAAACCGTCGAGTCTAATTAAACCGTCGAGTCAAA